TATTAAAAAAAACAAAATCATATCCTTTGCACAACATGGATGCAGCTGGAGGCCATTATCTTAAGCAAATTAATGCAGAAACAGAAAATCAAAGACTACATGTTCTCACTTATAAGTGGGAAATAAACATTAAGTACACAGCGCCGGGCATGGTGGCTTATGCCTGTAATCGTAGCACTTAAGAGAGGCCGAGGTGGGTGGGTCACTTGAGGCCAGGAGCTCAAGACCAGCCTGGCCAACATGGATAAACCCTGTCTCTACTTAAAAATACAAAAATTAGCCTGGCATGGTGGTGTACACCTGTAGTCCCAGCTACTCAGGAGGCTGAGGCATGAGAATTGCTTGAGCCTGGGAAGCAGAGGTTACAGTGAGCACTCCAGTCCAGGCAACAGAGCAAGACTTCGTCTCAAAAAAAAGCGGGGGGTACACATGGACATAAAAATGGGAATAATGGACACTGGAGACTATAAGATAGGGGAGGGAGGGAGCGCAGCAAGGGATGAAAAATTGCTTACTAGGTACTATGCTCACTACCCGGGTGATGGGTTTAATTGTACCCCAAACCTCAGCATCACACAATATACCCTCATAACAAACCTGCACACATACTCCCTGAATATAAAAGTTGAAAAAAATAAAAACAGACACTGTTGGTGCTCAGAGAAGTCTCCCCAGTTATTTCAGAGAGGAAGGACGGGGGAAATAAGACAGTGTAGAGTAATTTACTACAGGTGACTCATCAATTCACAAACTGAAGCTTGAAACACTGAGCCAGGCCAGTTGAGATAAGAATATGGTTGAGGTCAGATACTGAGGGAAGTGAGCGCTATGGGGGAGCAGGTGGAGGAGTTTTCTCTATATGTGATGTGATGATGATGACATCTATATGGAAGCAGAATAGTTACCTTCCAAGGTTGTTCATGAACCAAAATATTTTGAGAATCTTGGTCCTTTCCCCAGAACCTAACTTTTCCTCCATTACATGAAAATTTCCAAAAGACTGTGAAAACCTGGCTTCCCAAAATGTTCACATGAAGAAATGAGCCAAGAGCAAAACCTCTGCATTATCAAAAACTTTAAATTTTATGAAAAAAGTTATCTATGTAAGGCAGTGTATGTACAGACAAAAGAATTCTTAAGAGGCATTTGATGGGCACAAATGATTAAACAATTAGACCATAGCTAAAAAGAGCCTGTAACTCACTGCAGAACACACTGGTCTCCTTTGCAGAGGTTTGACTTTATTCCACTGTGCCTTCTGGAGGGGTGACTGGGAAAGATAAAGTTGAGAGGTTAATTCTCTGTAATTTGTAAATTTCATCTATTTGATGGAGAGAGAGAAAAAAAAAAGCCGCTCCTTTACCCTCTGAAGGGAAAGGCATCCCAGCATTTAAGAGTATCACATAGGCCGGGTGCGGTGGCTCACAACTGTAATCCCAGCGCTTTGGGAGGCCGAGGCAGGCGGATCACGAGGTCAGGAGATCGAGACCATCCTGGCGAACACAGTGAAACCCCGTCTCTACTAAAAACACAAAAAAATTAGCCAGGCGTGGTGGCGGGCACCTGTAGTCCAGCTTCTCGGGAGGCTGAGGCAGGAGAATGGCAAGAACCCACGAGGCGGCGGAGCTTGCAGTGAGTGGAGATGGGGCCACTGCACTCCAGCCTGGGCGACAGAGCGAGACTCCGTCTCAAAAAAAAAAAAAAAAAAGAAAAAAAGGAAAAAAAAAGAGTATCACATAATACTCCAAAGCAGCAACCCATTTACAGAGGAAACGTGGGTGAAAACAACATAGACCAGAATTGGGCTTCCAAATGTTATAAACAGTGAAAGGAATAAAAATTAAATTATGACAGAAAAAACTCTCTGATGTTTTCTCTGTGAAAAATAAAAACAAACACGCTTTATGAAGTCTGAACATCTTATGAAGGCTACATTTTTTTTGGCCTCAGGCACTAATTATGGTTGCGCCACTGATGGGGTCCAAAGGAAGCCAACTCAGCTCGTTTCATCCTGAGGGATAGAGAGCAACCACAAGTTTACAAAATAATTAATTATCTCCATGTTATTGTACAACAGGGTAAACAGTGACCTGAAACCTTGCGCCACAATAAATAAGCTGGTCAAGCCTGAAATGTGGGTCTATTTCTTCACGCACCATCTCTGTCTTACATTCTTCTGAAGGGCTGAGCTTCAAGATCGTTGAGTACTAAACCTCCAGAAACTATTTTTATTTTTTTCTACCACTTATTTTTTTTTAAGCAGAGAGATTGGAGGCTGGTTCCTAATCATTCCGTGTGGTTATTGTTGGTTTCTGTAGAATTTCAGGAAACTATGATGTTTTTAGCAAGACTTCATCATTGATCTGTAGCTGTGCCAGTTGTCACAATCTATTCATCATTATTGATATTAAGTAATATCAACAAGTGCCACTCTTATCTGGAAGGTCATTGATGTGAGCTGCTCAGTCTCTGGAGGGTAAGATGAGGGATGAGAACACAGACCCATCAGCCCTGGAGACACATCCATATTACTTTGCGAGGGCTGCTGTGACAGAGTACCGCAAACTGGGTAGTTTAAACAACAGAAAGTTATTGCCTTTCAGTTCTGTGAGCTGAAGTCCAAGATCAAGATGTCAATAGGATTGATTCCTTCTCAGAGCTGTGAGGGAAGGATCTGTTCCAAGCCCCTGTCCTTGGCTTGTAGATAGCCATCTTTTCCCAATGTTTCTTCACATATGTGTTTCTTTCTCTACACATCATGTTCTTTTTCTAAGAACATCAGTCATATTGGATTAGGAGCCAACCCTATTTTAATATGACCTCATCTTGACTAATTACATCCACAAAGGCCCTGTTTCCAAATAAGGTTATATTCTGAAGTACTGGGTGGTCTACGGCCATACCACCCCACACACACCCGATCTCATCTGAAGTACTGGGTGTTAGGACATCAATATATGAATTTGGGAGGTGGGGGAAGGGGGACACAATTCAGCCCACAACAACATCCATGGGATAATACTTGTTCCGGCAGGTGGGCAGGTGGCCAGCCCTTACTTTCTCAAGCTATCCATTTGGAGCAGGTCCTTTTTTTTTTTTTTTTTAAACAGAGTCTCTCTCTGTTGCCCAGGCTGGAATGCAGTGGTGTGATCTTGGCTCAATGCAAGCTCCACCTCCCAGGTTCACGCCATTCTCCTGCCTCAGCCTCCTGAGTAGCTGGGACTACAGACACCTGCCACCACGTCTGGCTAATTTTTTTTTAATGTATTTTTAGTAGAGACAGGGTTTCACTGTGTTAGTCAGGATGGTCTCGATTTTCTGACCTCGTGATCCACATGCCTTGGCCTCCCAAAGTGCTGGGATTACAGGCGTGAGCCACTGCGCCCAGCCTGGAGCAGGTATTTTTTATCCATCACCTTATTTAATCATCATATCCCTCTTAGTCTGCTAGGGCTGCCATAAAAAAATACCATAGACTGGGTGGCTGATACAACAACAATTTATTTTCTCACATTCTGCAGGCTAGAAAGTTCCAGATCAAGGTCCTGTGGGGTTTGGTTTCTGGTGAGGACTCTCTTCCTGGCTTACAGGAAACCACCATCCCATTGTGTGCTCACATGACCTCTGCTTTGACTGATCTCTGACAGAAAGGGAATTCTGGTGTCTCTTCCTCTTCTCATAAGGGCACTAGCTCTATGGGATTAGAGATCCACCCTTTTGACCTCGTTTAACCTTTATTACCTCCTCACAGGCCCTATCTCCAAATGGGGATAACATTGGGGGTTAGGGCTTCAACATATGAAGTTGAGGAGAACATGATTCAGTCTACAGTAATCCCTAATGGGAGACATCATCATTGTCATTTATAGGAAGCTGAGACACAGAAAGGTTAACCTTCAGATTCCACAGCTAGAATTAGTGTAAAATGCAGGTGTATTTGACTCCTAAAACCCATTTCTCCATCCACTATTCTGGATGTCTCAAACTGGGACCTAAAATGGGGAGGTTTGCACATGACCTGAAATTACTTCCATCACTGGGGGAAGGGAGGATTGAGCAATTTCCTGCTTCTATTAAAGTGAATTATACAAACTTGTCATTCTAGGGATGAAAGGTCATCCTAGAATTGCCTATGGATGATTTCATACAGTTCAACCTAGAATGAGAAATGGGAAATTCAGAAAGGCCTTGCAGGGCTTTCTGACCATGCATCCTTGTCACATGCCCCACTGCACAACTTCCCCAGCTCCTCGATGTCACATGGATCTGGAAAGCAGGGAGACTGGACTATGGAGCCAGCCCTCCAGGGTTGGAACTGAGTTTGAATCTCAGCTTGACTACTTACTAGTACCTAAGGTAACATGTTTAATCTCTCTGTGCTCGGTTTCCTCATCTGGAAACACAAATTATAATGCTCCTCCCTCATATGATCATAGTGAGGACTGAAAGAGTTAATGCATATAAGGAGTGTTTGGGCAGGATCTGGCACACGGCAAATGCTTTATAAGTGTTAGTTGTTATCATCATGATTATTCTTGTCTGAATTATAAGGAAGAGAAAAAGTATGTATCTTAAGAATAGAGGATTTTAAAATGCTCCCAAGTTCCTTAACCAACCTGAGCCATCTGTAAATTAAGTACTACGGGATTTCCAGCTCTGACATGTATTCAGCGGTCCTAGAAACTGACATCAGTTTAATACAAACTATTCTAAAATGTCGTGTGCCCTTGACAGGGAGGTCCAAGTACTGGATACTTGCAATGCAATCCAGCAGTGGCCCCGTCTTTCTTACAAAAAGGCCCCAGTCACATGATGATGAGGCTAGATCTATTCCTGTCCTCCTTCTCTTCCTCATATTTCCTTCTTCTTCAAGGTCTAAACGTTTATTGAACTGATACTCATGAATGAGTTACTCGACTAGGCTTGCAGGATAAACTTGCCAGGCTTTACATCTATTTGTTCCTTTCCATCCCCCAAAATCAAATGGCTGCTCCAGGAAAATGTTCCCCTTGTGGCAGGGTCCGGGAGAAAAGAGAGAGGAAAAATTAAAACGACTGAAGGCCTATGTGCTCCAGGAATATGTCCTGGAGATGGCAGTGGAGGGCAAGGGGAGAATGTTGGTAACGTTAAAATTTTTAAAGTTTCAGGTCCTGTATCTTGACATCCCAAGTATAAATGCGGGTACCAGACACAGTACAAACGTTCTCAAAGCCCAGTTACATATTCCAAACCAAACGCGGGCTCTTGAAGGGTGATGAGGTAGGGATGAAATACAGGATCGCCTGAAGACCATTTCTTCCTCTCTTAGGGACCTGCTTGGCTCCAGCTGATTCGGTCGAGGAGGAAAACCTCCCACTTGCTCCTCTTGGGCTCCCTGCATGGAGAGAGTAGAGACACTCCTGCCATCCAGTTGCAAGAAGTCGCCACTTCCCCCTCCAGCCGACTGAAAGTTCGGGCGACGTCTGGGCCGTCACTTGAAGGCGTTTCCTTTTCTTTAAGAACAAAGGTTGGAGGCTGAGCCTTGCGGCGCGGGTGCAGGAAAGTACACGGCGTGTGTCGAGAGAAAAAAATACACACACGCAATGACCCACGAGAAAGGGAAAGGGGAAAACACCAACTCCCCGGGCGCTGGGCTTTTTCGACTTTTCCTTTAAAAAGAAAAAAGTTCTTCAAGCCGTAGGTTCCAAGAACAGGCAGGAGGGGGGAGAAGCGGGGGGGTTTGCAGAAAAGGCGCCTGGTCGGTTATGAGTCACAAGTGAGTTATAAAAGGGTCGCACGTTCGCAGGCGCGGGCTTCCTGTGCGCAGCCGAGCCCGGGCCCAGCGCCGCCTGCAGCCTTGGGAAGGGAGCGGATCGCGGAGCCCCAAGCCGCCCGCAGAGCAAGCGCGGGGAACCAAGGAGACGCTCCTGGCACTGCAGGTACGCCGACTTCAGTCTCGCGCTCCCGCCCGCCTTTCCTCTCTTCAACGTGGCAGGGACGCCGGGGGACCTCAGCGTGAGGGTCACCGCCGGGTGGACTGGCGGGGCAAGGCGGGGGCAGCGCGCACGTGGCCGTGGAGCCCGGCTCGGTCCCACGCGCGTCTGCGGGTGCCCCCTGGGGACTCAGAGGTGTCGCCTCGCCCGGGACCAGAGATTGCGCTGGATGGATTCCCGCGGGCAGAGGCAGGGGGAAGGAGGGGTGTTGGAAACCTAACACTTGAGCTTCTTTGCAAAGTTTCCTTGGATGGTTGGGGAGGTACCTGTATAATGGCCCTGGACCAACTTCCCCTGTTGAAGCAGCCAGAGAAGTGTGTAAAACACACTACAGGGGCAGTGTGGAAAAAGAGACTGCCTTCAAAACTTGTATATTTTCTATTTTGAAAAATAACTGCAAATCTATTTTAATTTTACAAAGTTAGACTCATAGCATTTTAGATATCAATGTCTTCATTTAACAGAAGTGAAGATGGAGCAAACGCTCAATCAGCGTCTGTATTTATTCGCTCCTGTTGTGCCACGGTGCGTTTTTGCTGAGCAGTTGCCTTTACTCTCACAAAACCCCCTTGGTGTCTGTCCTCCACGTTTTACGAGGGAGAGCTGGATCTTTTGAAGTTCGTATCATCTAAAGCAGGTATATTGAGATGACTATGGATAGAAGTTTACCTGAAAATACTGAAGTTGACAGCTGACAAAGATATAAGAATCCAAAGTATGTTAAAAATTAAGGAGCTGGGGCCCAGAGAAGTGAAGTTACTTCTCCAGCATCACACAGCAGATCCAGGACCCTGTGTGATTTGAAAAGGCCAAGGTATCTAATGATGCTCATAATTTAGTTAATTTTGTGTCAAACGGATGAGGTCAAGTGGACATTATGTGTATATTTCAAAGCCAAAATTACTGCTTGTAATCTCCATTCATCTCTCTGAAGAAGTAGTGCCTCTTTTATATGGCTTTAACATAATGTATAATCGAAGTGAATTAGGGCAGCCAAACTTTTAATCACAGGACTGATCTTTTAAAAACGGGTATATGTAAAGTTAATTGCTTATCTATGTGAACAGTAATATATGCTATAAAAAGTTTTCAAGGCAACTTCCTGCCTGTGGTTTAATTTGATAGTCACAATGATAGGAAATTGGCAGGGTTAGGTGGTGGTATCCACATTTTGCCCATGAGGACTTGTGGCTCAGATAATTTGAGTTTTTTCTAGTAAGGTCACTAGGTCCCTAGTGCACAGCCTGCTTTTAGGTACGGATGTGGGATAGGGGTGTCGGCAGACCACAGGTTTTTGACTCTCAGTTTGGGCTCATTTCCATGACTCCTTGCTGCCTCCCTGATTTCTGTCAAATGACCAAAGCACATTTACTAATTACTTCTGCCGCAAGGACTACTCCTTATTAGGCTGTGACAAGCAAGTTTCCTCACATAGCGGGTCAGCTCACTCTGGCCACAAGACCCAGCTTCCTAACCACACACATTAAGAAAGAGAAAAATTAGCACTGTCTGAGACCTACAACCACTTCAAGGGGGAAGAGTGGTGTTTGCACAAATATCTACTCTTGTTTTAACCTAATCATGTGTAAAAAGTGTAATTCACTGGTCTTTACCAAAAAAAAAGTCATCACTGTCTGCCTGTGCTGGACGCGATGCTAGAGAGACAAAAGTGAGCAGGATAGGCACCACCCTGCCCTTACAAACCCAAAAAGTTAGAGGAAAGGCTATCGGGATGTTACTATGCAATTTGATAGCATTTCAATTTTGGTAACATAAATACTTGAACTAATTAGAATGTGCTACAAATTTTGCCATTCTTTACTTTCCATGTGCCAACATGGAAAATCTGTAACCTTCATCTTTCAATACCTCATCTTAACAGTCTTCTATAAATCAAAAAATCTACCCCAAAAAGCCCTAGGTTTTAACTTTTGAAAAGTTTTTTTATTTATCAGCTTTTCATGTCATGACTAAGATGTGCCATTCAACTTAAAGGAATTCTTTCATTTTACAGTAACAGTTATTAAAATCCTTTATTCCTACCTCCTTGAGAATCTAACGGAAATTTTATGTCCTCTTCCCAGAAAATTTTTTTTAATGTGCATCCTCACACACCATTTTGCATTCGGCGTCAGCAGGCTAGAGGCTTCCTTGAACCTCAGTCATGACCCTCTTTGGGGGTCCACTTTCATAATCAGTATTCTAAACGCAGTAGGCATAAATAGCTTGAATAGAGGAAAGTGGGATGTAGACTCTTGGCCTTCACTTGGACTGAGCATCTCTATCCTTAACTAGTTGGTGTCTCCATTTTTGTTAGTCATTGGCTACTGCTTAGCTGAAGCTATTGATTTTAATAGCCTTATTGTTTTGATATGAGGCTGCCACTCTGCAGAAGCCTAATATTGGGGAAGGAACACCAGCCTAAGAACCGTGGTTTGTTTCTAGTATCAACTCTGCAGATTTCTGTGCCTCATTTTTCTCATCTCTAAGATGGGCGGCTGATGGGTGGCCGGGACTGAATCATTTCTAAAATCCTTTACACTGATGAAATTCTGTGATTCCAGTGTAACTACCAAGTTCACTTTCATATACCTCCTGAGACACAGCTGGTCTTAGTAAATTTAGGTCCTCTATGTCCAAAGAAAGTCTAAGTAAGTACCATCATAATTCACTACAGAATGTATTTTTGTCTTTCACTGATCTTACTGGACTCAAAACTGTTACATGTTTCCTTAAATTAGATAGAATAACACAATTGTGAAACACTACTTTTCAAGGAAAAATATTACAATTTTAAAAGCCTCTTTTTATCCCACCTCTCAGTAGCTACAACTTTCATATATGAGTTTCATATATATATATGAAAAACTTTTTCTTATCTCAGACTCTTAAGGAAATGCAATGCTTTTAATATGATCACTGCTGTGTAATTCTCATCTGCCCTGAAACACTTAAGTTCTGTCCATCAATCAATGTCTTTGGTCTTATAATATTCAGAGCCTTAAGCAAAACCAGCGCAAAAGCACATCTGTCCTCAAATAAGCACATCATATGTCTGAGCAGTTCAGCATCCTCACTCAAAGTCCACGGCTCTCAGCAATGTGGAAGAACATGTTATTCCTAAAATCACCACCCTTACACACAGTGACACACTCACCAGAAAGTGAGGCTTAACATAGCTTAAGTTGCTGTAGTTTAAAACAGATTGTGAATATCTGTGCTAATTCTGAGAAACAATCAGCAGAGATATTAATCAATTAGCACAGATCACTAATATCTGTGCTAATTGTTAGAACAGATTAGCACAGATATTGCTACCTTGTGTGAGTAGATAGTTAAGGCACTGGCAGAAGGAAAGATTAGTGAAGAATATCAAATATGTGATTTAATGAAATTGTGAGGCTGATGTTTGGATAAGGTGAAACAATGCCCTACAATGACATTTTTGCCAGTTCTCCATAAATGAGAGTGTTCTACACAAATTATAAGTTCCTGGCTGTCTTAACAAAATGCTCTGGTCCTTTGTATGCTCACACAAATAACGGTTCCAAGCATGGGAAACAGGTATCAGATTGCCCAAGTGGGCAACCCAGCCGCATTATCCTTAGCCACTGATTAACCTTGTGCAAGTTACTTCACCTGCCTGTGCCTCAAGGCCCCCATGTTTCAATGGGGAGGGTGTGAATACTCATTCCTAAGGTTGTGAGGAGGAATAACTGAGTTAGTAGACATCAAACACTTAGGTGCTTGGCACAGAGGGAGCCCTGTGTGTTTGCTATTATTCTGTTTCAGTGGATGATCTTGTGTATTATAAGAAATCAATTTGGAAGGTGAGATACAAATGCAGTCTGAGAAAGTAAAGACATTTTAAAGACATTTTACTGTGTCACGAATTTTCAGAGACCACACTGACACGGTAAAAAGTTGTCTGGTTTTTAGAATTTTTGTTTCAGAATGCATATCCTTCTCCTTAACCAAACGAAAACTACTAAAATACTTCTGAAAATTATTTCCAAGAAAACATTTTGGTGTATCTTTTAGCAGTTACTTTACAACTTAAAGATTAGGATAAACCAAAGAATTATTTTAACTTGGCTTTTACCTGCTTGTAGATAACCTCTAATTTATATAACGGTTCAATTATACAGTGGTAAATGTATCTGGGCTTGTACTTTTAAAATAGCAAGTGTAACATGTGATAGATGTAGGGTACTTATAAAGTACTCACTAAGCACTGATGACTGATGTCATTAGTATCACGGCTATCATTCATTGAACCCTGATTATGAGGCTGGCACCCAACTAAATGTTTTGCATTGTCACTTCATCTTCACAAGACTTTCTGAGTAGGTTATACCTTTATCTCCATTTTCAGGGAAACAACTAAGACTTAAAGAGGTTTATTAACTTGCCAAATACCACACAGCTAGTAACACTGGTGGGGTATGGAATGGAACCCAGGCAAGCTGAAAACAACAGAACAATGAACACTCCTACTTTTCAATTAGATTTGCTAATTGTTAATATTTGCCACATTGACTTATCTTTCTGTGTCCCTACCCATCTCTCTATATATATCTATATGCAAACCTGGCATCTAACTTCTAGATGTTTCAGCATGGATCTCCTAAGAACAAGGACATGGTTCTATGCAATGAAAACACATGATTATAGCATCCAAGAGTGGTTTTTAAAATCCGGGATGAAACTTAATTTTTACCCACAAGTCCAGACAATGATTTCTACCAGTATTCTCCAGCTTTACTTTATACTTGACAGACTGAGATCCAAGCCTGGAATCTTCTAAAAAGGGTCCACTGCCAATCTGGAATGCCAACAAACCTTATTAATATATCCCCACATTTGTAAGCTTCTACTAAATTCTCCAAGAACCTGCATATCAGTTAAGTCCTGAAATGCTCCAGTGCCAAATAAAAGCCCACTGTGCAGATAGAAATGCCTTTGGAAACTCTCAAACATTCATTCAAAAGTATTTAGTGGGTATCTGTCAGCTGTATATCCAGCACTGAGGGAAGACTCAGTCTCTGCCATCACATACACCTCAGCACTAAGAAGAGACACATGAAATAATTACCATCCAGTGTGATAAGTGCTCTGACAGAGGATGGAGAGAGGACTAGCCACCTTGGGGAAGATAGAGAAGCAGGGTCCCATCAGGAGATGAGGAGAAACCAGCCTCCAGGAGTGTGCTATCTGAGAGTACAAGATAAGGAAGGCGAAGAAGACAGGTCCATACTTGAACACTTGAAGTAGGTATATCTAGTGCCTAAGAGTGTGTATGGTGACATCTTGTGGAGCAGCGATCATGACCCTCATTTGGTTTGTTAAAGCATTGGGTCAAATGCCATGGGAATGTAACATGTAAATGGTCTTTGCCTTATAACACAGGGTATCCCATCCATGTAAGAGTGAATTTTTAAAAAGGCAAAACCAAACCTTTGGTTTACAGAATTTGCTCCATTTGCCTTAAATAGTTTTAGCACACAAATTCTTCCTTGCTTGGGGCCATTATGGTGTGTGGAAGCAGAAAAAGATAAACTGTAGCTTACAGAAATAGAAAAGCAATTTTGTCTGATGATACAGACATAAGGATATAAACAACAAACAGGTAACACATAATAAGTTCCAAATGAGGCATTTTGTTGAAATTCAGTGTTAAGCATAAACAGTGAACTCAAATGCACAAAGGAGGCCTCATGGAAGGGTGACAAAACACAGAGCAGATAACAGCCACCCTATTTTCTGTTCCCTGGGAGTGGGGAGAAAAGACATCAAAATCGAATTATAAATTTTAAAAAGTATTAAAATTATCTTATGGAAATATGATATTAAGAAGTTTGTTAGACAAATGGAAAACGTTTTGTGGAAACAAGAAATAAGAAAGAATGGCCATCACTTAAAGCAACAGAACGCATCTCTCCCACTAGCTCTCCCCTCCCTACCCACAGCTTTATTTACATTTGTTCTATAACATTTCAGCACAGTTCAGACCTGCCACTGAGCCAGTGTGAGGTCAGGGTGTTGAGGAAGTGAGTCCCCGCAGTCAGACTCCAGCTGGCTGTCATCCTGCTTCTGCTTATTCCACATAATCAGTCTGGTGGGGAAGAGGAAATTCCTAACCTTTTTTTTTTTTTTTAACACATCTTCATCAGAAAAGTAAAAGCACTAATTACTGTCCATAATAAAACTATTGGGAAGGTAACTTAGCTTGTAAATAAGTTCCACAAAGTCATTTCAGTAAAAGCTTCCTGGTTCTAAAATTGGGAAAAGCAGGATAATCCTCTAAGGCTGACATTCTTTCTCTTTTGTGCATTTACAACTAAACAGTCACTGATATACATTTCCACAGCGACCCTGCAATATCCACACTGACTTTCTTCTAAGACACTTCAAAAATCCATCACACCTTTATGTGTTAAATATCACTATTGGCATATATCTTTAAAAACACTTATTTTCTTAATTCTCAAAATACAGAAAAGAATGTTATGCTATTTTGTGTGCAAACTGCTATTTTCAATAAGGAGCTCTTAATTGAGAAATAGTTGCTATTTTTCAATAAAGAACTCTCAATTAGAAATATCAAGAAGTGATGTTAAGTTTTTATGGAAGTAAATAAAATATCATGACATGAAAAGTTTATAATTTTTCCCCCAGCAATGGCTTATTCAGGGAATTTTTCTTATATCTAAAGTTAATGATCTGAAAAGTGGTAATCTTATCATTCACCAAGATTTCAGGATGTAAGTTATTCCTACAGAACAATCCATTTTTACCTTTAAAGATGAGTTTGTGTGCTTCAGAAGACGTGACTCCAGTTGGCCACCATCAATCCCTTGTTAATGATGGAACTCATGTGAAGTTAAGAGGAAACATAATACTCTTTATCTCATTCCCTGGTAGCAGAGAAGTTGACTCATCTTTAACGTCAGTTACTGAGATGTAACACAGAATCATATTCTACAGAAAATATGTGATAAACTTTACACAAATAAATACACTTTAGAAAGGCAGTCATTTGGATTTTCTTTTTGTCAGAGAACACTGCAAGTCTTCCTGAAGAATCTCTGAGAAATTAAACACTTTATATGACATTTTATAGCATGTAGAGAGGTTGAAACTCAGAGAACTAAAACTCAGATGATAATCTAAATACTTAATTTGTTGCTGCTTTATGCTGGACGTGAAAAGTGTGAGCTTAAATTATAAATAAAAAACTACTGAACTATCAAACTATTTGGGGTACATCCTTATCTTTCCTCTAAATTACTCTTTATTCCCATTAAAATCTACCTATCCCAGGTCCTCTCTCCTCAGCCCTGATCTCTGCTTTCAAAGATGACTGACTAACCTAATAAACACATCTAAGGCGATGTTGTCAACTTCAACCCAACCCTCTTTCCCCAGATAACTGTCTGCATTTCAAGAACAACCTACCAGAGACCTTACCTGTCACCTTGGCTCTCCCACCCAATGGAGATGGCTCTAATGGTAAGGAATTCTGTCTTAAGTAACAGGGAAGGGAAACACTCCGACAGATGCAGAGTTTTCATAGAGGCAGGCTGTTGGTGCATCATGTGGGCAGCCACTTTCAACTTTTGACCCTGCCTCAAAAGGTAACCAAGAAATCGTTGTTATTCTAAAAATTACGACAAATCCAAAGTTTCACAGAATCCTGATTTTTATATACTTGCATTAATCACTGCTTATTTCCATGACATAAACCCAAACCGCAGCTGCAGAATATAGAGAATCAGAAGAAATTCTGATAGAAAAGCCAGATACTGCTTCCACATATGCAAATATATGCTAATTGCTTTTAGCAAATGGATCCAAATAGGAATCAACATTATTTCATCTTAATGATTATGTTTTTGATTGGTACACATAAATGTTAGTGGGAAAATAGTTAGAGGAAGTTACCTAAACTAAATCACTTCAATTTTCAACAACATAATTACATTTCACCTACTAAAATGGCTTTGGACGTAAAATTTGTATTGCTACATCAATATAAGATGACTTTCAGTAAAAATAGATGTACATTTGATTTGTAACAACAAATTAGTAGTTTTAAATTATTTGTATATTTCAGGGTAAATAAAATTAGAGCTATCCCACAATCGCTTTGGTTCTGAAATTCGACCACTGTAACTTTTTTTAAAGAAAACTATGGTGTGCAGTTCCTTTGGTTGCAAATATTAAATGGTTGGTGCTGAGAATAAGCAGCAATATAGAAATATACATAAATGTAGAAGAATATAACCTATGATTTAGACATAAAACGAGACCCTTACAAGATAAAGAGTTATGGAGATGTATGCTAATGATGGTTGTACAACATTATGACTGTTTAATATAGCTGACCTGTACACTTAAAAGTGGTTACGATGGCTGGGCGCGGTGGCTCACGCCTGTAATCCCAGCGCTTTGGGAGGCCAAGGCGGGCGGATCACGAGGTCAGGAGATCGAGACCATCCTGGCTAACATGGTGAAACACCGTCTCTACTAAAAATACAAAAAATTAGCTGGGCGTGGTGCGGGCGCCTGTAGTCCCAGCTACTCGGCTGAGGCAGGAGAATGGTGTGAACCTGGGAGGCGGAGCCTGCAGTGAGCGGAGATCGCGCCACCGCACTCCAGCCTGGGTGACAAAGGGAGACTCCGTCTTAAAAAAAAAAAAAAAGTGGTTAAGATGTTAAACTTACATTATGTTTACATTACATTACATATTTCACCACAATAAAAAATTTTTGAAGGAAAACCAGAACTTTAATGACAAACTTAGGACATATTATGCTCTGAATATATAGTTTTGATAATGTCTTTCCTGGCAAATCAACAAGGTAAGAATAAAAGGATATTCTGAAATCTTTTTTTTTCTTTGGAGACGGAGTCTCGCTCTATTGCCCAGGCTGGAGTGCAGTGGCACAGTCTCGGCTCACTGCAACCTTCTGCCTCCCAGGTTTAAGCGATTCTGCTGCCTCAGCCTTCGGAGTAGCTGGGATTACAGGCGCGCACCACCATGCCTAGCTAATTTTTTTGTATTTTTAGTACGGGGTTTTCCCATGTTGGTCAGGCTGGTCTCGAACTCCTGATCTTGTGATCCACCCACCTCAGCCTTCCAAAATGCTGGGATTACAGGCATGAGCCACCACACCTGGCCAGATATTCTTAAATCTTATGCTCACACTCCACCCTGCCCCCCAAAAAATTGTCCTTCGGGAAAGCATAATCTAAGGAAAAATTTCCCAAAGTGCCACCTTCAGCTTCATTCTTACTACAAGAGGAAGAATTGCCCGTCATATAATGAAAGATACTTGGTGTTATCATTAATCTGGTCTACATAGTGCTTCCTCTTGGTAGATTTTTTACCCACTGTGAGCAGGAATGATTTTGATACTCAGTGTGTAGTAATTCTGTTAAGAACATTTAACTTGGAACCTATGCTACATAGTAAAGCTTATACTGACAATGGATATTTCATGTGGTAGGCATAAGTATTGTGGCGTGAGGGGAGGACTGGAAGTATATCTGCAGAACTACCTAGTCAAAGACCCCAATCTAATTTCTAATGTATAATTCATATAAATCCTTCTTGTATTGCTAGACATTAAACATTATGCTTGTCATATTCTTGGTTAGCACTGTCACTATTGATTGTCAGGCTTATAATTGTGTATAATTCTTCCCCTGCCACTTTACCAGCTGGTGGCCACACTGATTCCAGAAAGAAGTACTTCATTTCTTATTACCTCATGAAAGCACCCTCTGCCCAATGCCTTGGCTAACAGACTGGCCTTTGTTGTCTATGACCACTAATTCCCACTCAGGCACATAGCAATTCTGTTGTTGGTTGATTAGCCCAGTCAAAAACACTGGAAGTGGATGTAGACTCCACACTGATGGATGAATGACCTTCTGGTCATTTTAATGTCCTTAAAAGTCTACTATTTTTAAATTGAAAATAATATATATATATATTCTGGGGTATGTTCTCCTTTATTCTGTTCATTAATGTTTTTCATCTATCACTGGGTTTTAAATATGACCTAAGGTTCTACAGTATATTTAGACAAACTTCTCATTTCTCTGCAGTGTTAGGAATTCATCACGTCTGTATGACAAGGTTGTGTTTGAGAACAAATGGGGACCTGTGTGACATGTTTTATTTCAATATACATTTAGAGTTTGAACCAATAAAAAAGCTATTAGAATTTTTAATATATATAACACATTATCAAAAACACTGTCACTTTTCTGAGTGCTCTAATCAGGCAATTCAGATGTTTATTTAAAAAGAGGGAAAAGCCAATCAGTATACTAAATATATTTATTTTAATACCTGTGCTCATATGTTACCTTTAAAGAACAGGAATAAAATTTATGGGTAGAATAGTATGCAAGCAATTTACCATCAATACAAATTAAACACATCTTTTTAAGAAAAGGGTGAGTTATCTTGACTGGGGAGGCACTAACGCTAGTTTATTAATATGTATTTATTAAGCATTTACTGTGTCCAGGACCCTGTAAGGGGGGGAAAAAAGTCCTTATTTTTACAATCTTTATTGACTGAAATTCTATAAAATGAATTGAATTCCTGAAATGACATCATTTAATCCAAATTTTTTCATCATCAACTAATTCATCTCAGGAAACAGTAAAGTTTAAAAAAAATACTATCAGTAAGAATGATATATTTCCTTGGTTTGGAAATTTCCAAACCACGATATTCTGCCCCGTCAAAATATATTCACTGGGGAATTTTTTACTTCATACGTTTCTTTTGAACTTAGTCACATTTTTATATCTAGCTGGTTTCATTATTAAATAAAAGAAAAGGTGATTCCCCTCTTGTACTGCAGGAGACCACATACTTGAATGATACTCTAACTTCTAGGTTCTGCTATAGTAACACTGAAATCAGAAACCTGTGGGAGAAATGTCACTTTATCTGAGAGAGTAAAATCAGACTCTAAAAGGAAGTAGCAAATTCATCTTGTTCTTTTTTTTAATCAACCCTCTGCCTAACACAAGTAGTTTGAAACACAGAGGACTCTTTAAGTCATACTTCCTTTATGTAGTCAAAACCAAAGCCACTGGGTATTGCTTTCCCCAAAGGAATCTCTAAATAGCAGACGGGGACATTTTCAGATAGATTCATTTGTAGGCAAACCTCCATTGCTTGTATCGTATTTCCTGAAAGAATAAAGGTAAAACTTCAACTATTTATTACAGAATGAAAAATTCAGCCTGAACCCTACCTTTATAAAACAGGTTAATTGGGTTTTAATTTTCATAAATCATAAAGGACCATTTTGAATATTTGGGCCTTTAATTGTCTAGCTCCCAGATGAAGTACAAATCAGAAAAACACATACAAAAAAACTATACTGTGTCAGAATGCAAGCTTCCCTCTTTGCATTTTGGCATTTGGAAACTCTGAAGAGTGGTTTTTGTTTTTGATTTAAAGAAGATGATACATATGTGTACCTGATTCAAAACTAGAGAATAGAATTGAAAACATAATTTTCAAAAAGTTTTCAAATATGCCTAAAGGTAACAATGTCATCTTTTAATTGCCAATTTCTCTACCACTTTCAACAAATTACTTCCAAGGATTTAATTAGCTCCTTCAAGAGAAAATGGACTATTTTCCTTTCAGATTTACTATATTCTGTCACTCCAGCTTTATAACCGCATGTGCATACACAAACATTTCTTTCTCTCTTGCAGGTGGCACAAACCAGGAAGGGGAAATCTGTGGTTTAAATTCTTTATGCCTCATCCTCTGAGTGCTGAAGGCTTGCTGTAGGCTGTATGCTGTTAATGCTAATCGTGATAGGGGTTTTTACCTCCAACTGACTCCTACATGTTAGCATTAACAGGGTATGATGCCTGTTACTAGCATTCACATGGAACAAATTGCTGCCGTGGGAGGATGACAAAGAAGCATGAGTCACCCTGCTGGATAAACTTAGACTTCAGGCTTTATCATTTTTCAATCTGTTAATCATAATCTGGTCACTGGGATGTTCAACCTTAAACTAAGTTTTAAAAGTAAGGTTATTTAAAAGATTTATCAGTAGTATCCTAAATGCAAACATTTTCATTTAAATATCAAGCCCACGTTTGTTTTTATCATTAACAGAAAATGTATTCCTGTCATTCTTAATTGCAGGTTTTGACTTGTTCAATATAATGTTCATAAATACCTTTGATTCAACTGTTAGAAATGTGGGCTAAACACAAATTTCTATAATATTTTTGTAGTTAAAAATTAGAAGGACTACTAACCTCCAGTTATATCATGGATTGTCTGGCAACATTTTTTAAAATATTTAGAAACTGGTACTTTCCCCCATGTAATGATTTTCTGTTTAGGCAACTTCAGTTTAGAATTAATACTTTCATTTGACTCTTAAAGGGAAATTGAAAGGCTATGAAGCTGAATTTTTTAAATGAGATATTTTTAACAAGTAGCAGGGTAAATAACATCTGAGAGCTAGTGAGATATTGTTTCCATACAAGATACAAAGATTTAATTTAAAAACTCATATTTGAAATGAAGTCCCAAATCTAGGTTCAAGTTCAATAGCTAAGCCACATAATATGGTTGTGTAAGCAGAGAATCTACCTTTCCACTTCTAAGCCTGTTTCTTCATCCATGAAATGGGGATAATGCTTTACAAGGTTGTTGTGAGGTTTAGGTGAGATAGAGAATATTCTGTAAGATAATCAAGTGCTCCATCCATGTTATAGTTGGGTTAATCCAAGAACTAGTCACCCTACTTTGTTAGAGAAGAGAAAAGCTAATGATTTAATTTGCAGACTTTTTAAGGTTTGGGTTTCTATGCAGTTTTTCTAAATAACTATAACTTACAAACATGTAACCAAATGTAATTGTTAGTATATTTAATGTATACTTGTTTTAACAACTCTTCTCAACATTTTGTCAAGTTTATTCACTGTAACCAAATAAATCTCATGAGTCTTTAGTTGATTTAAAATAATTTTTATGGCCCATTTTCTTTTGCAAAGTACAAATTATAATTTCAGAAGATATCTGCCAAAAAAAGACAATGGAAGAAAATTATGAGGATACTAAGGGGAACTTTCCTGACTCCTAGGACACAGTATTCTCACGTAAGAGTACCCATTTGGCTTTGCCCCACTTTCCGTTCAAGTTGTATGTGCTGCCAATACAAATTCCTTCTCCTAACCCGTGGAATGAGCTCATGGCTCCATGGAGCTTCCGTGTAGGTAGAACATACTCAAGAGAGTTTCTTCAGGCCAGGCATAGTGGCTCACGCCTATAATTCCAACACTTTGGGAAGCTAAGGCGGGTGAATCATTTGAGGTCAGGAGTTCTAGTCTACCCTGGCCAACATAGTGAAACCTCGTCTCTGCTAAAAACACAAAAATTAGCTAGGCATGGTGGTGAGTGCCTGTAATCCCAGATACTCAGGAGGCTGAGGCAGGAGAATCACTTGAACCCAGGAGGTGAAGTTCGCAGTGAATGAAGATCTTGCCACTGCCCTCCAGCCTGGGTGACAAGAGTGAAAAAGTGTTTCTTCATTTTATCTGCCACTGTATATCTACAAGAGGATTCCTTGCTTTGAGTCCCAGTTCTTCAAAATCCTACTTGCTGCCTAAAGACACAAAGTCATAGAACATTAGGGCTGGAATAAACTATTGTAGTATAACCTTCCTGCTGTTACAATAAAAAGCTATGAACATTACAAAGGCACTTGAAGAAAATCTGTGCTGGGAAATGCCTTATTTGAAGAGCAATTGAGTACACTCCATGAAGCCTAAGATAGTTACTTAATCTTCCGCTAAGCCTCAATTTCTTCATCAGTAAAATGATGAATATATTTCATATTTCATAGGATGTAGGCTTAAATGAAATCATGCATATGAAAAGCACAATGTCTATTATGCATTAAGTGTTAAACACAAACTTTCAAACTTTCACATTTCAGTCATTTAAATCAAATGATCTACCACAGCAGATCTCCCCAAGGACACTCTAGCTCCAAACTAACTATAATCCCGTGGTGACAAGCCAAAGAACCAGGGTTCCTGGGTTTATTCTAATGCCCAGCCCTCCTAGGCTTCTGACTGCCTATCTCCTCATCGTAGAGGGATTCCTCCTGACCAGTCATTACAAAAATTCTTGAAGCATGAGTAAGATTGAGTCTGTGTTTGGATTGGAGGAATGGGTAAGTAACAAGGTATATATATGTATGTGTGAGTGACTGAGTGTGTGTGTGTGTGTGTGTGTGTGTGTGTGTGTGTGTGTGTGAAAGTTACAAACTAAGGATGGTTTTTAAAAATTGCAAAATGTTAAGAGATTCATCTAGGATCTGACCCACTTCCCCAGAAATTTACGGAATTCAAGACCAAGCCTTTCATATTCACTGTCATCAGTTAGATGGATCCAATAGCTAAAAAATTAAGGAGAAAAAAAATGGAGGAATATGAGAAAAAAAGTCAAGTCAGAGGACTGAAGAATATATACAGAACATAGAATACTAGAAATTTTCTGAAAATAGGTGATAGCGAATACCTCAAGAAAGTAAGGAAATGTGAAGAAAAAAGGGAGCTTAAAGAAAAATAGTAGAGTTCATAGATGGGACACAAGTACAAAAAGCTGGCTGAGCATGTGGTTCTCTACTAATAACAACTGGAAAACAGTGAAACTAGCAGGAAAAACTTGCACATAAGAGTTTAACTTTCCACTTTGGGTTTCAAATTCTCCCATAGCAATAAGGGTAAGTGAAATAATGTTCACATAAGTTTTTTTTTTTCCTTGTCTATTACTGTAGTTTTTTTGGTTTGTTTTGTTTTTGTTTTCGTTTTTTTTTGAGACAAACTCTTGCTCTTGTCCCCCAGTCTGGAGTGCAATGGTGCAATCTCAGCTCACTGCAACCTCTGCCTCCAAGGTTCGATTCTCCTGCCTCAGCCTCCCGAGTGGCTGGGATTACAGATACGTACCACCACGCCCAGCTAATTTTTTGTATTTTAAGTAGAGACGGGGTTTCACCATATTGGCCGGGCTGGTCTCGAACGCCTGACCTCAGGTGATCCACCCGTCTCGGCCTCCCAAAGTGCTGGGATTACAGGCGTGAGCCACCACACCCAGCCTGTTACTATAGTGTTTTAACAAATCTAAGTGTACTAGTATTAGTCTTCATTCATCTAAGACATACAAGTACTGGAATTTTTTAGGTGGGTTCCTCAAATGTCATCACAATGGTGTCTTCTCTATATTCAGTCACTCTTCCGCCCTTCTCTGTAATGCTCAGGGATTTCCCAGCTCACTAGCACTTAACCTAGTATATCCTAAAAGTCCAAGTCTAACTACAGAAATGAGTTTAAATACAGTGAACATTTCATTTTCACTATGCCACTGAGCTGAAAGAAATGATTTTTGGTAAATAAAAGTTCATCACAGCAGACAATTAAGTGAAAAGTTCTATATATAACTGAAGATCAAAGGATTCTCACCTGGGAAGCTTGTCAAGATGCATATTCCCAAGCTCCCAGGCTCCCACTCCCACTGATTGTAATACTGTAATGGAGCTGAGGACACTACATTTTTACCGGGCTGACCAGGCAGTTCAGATTCAGGTGGATCATAAACCAGCTCTGAGGAAACAGTAGTTTTATACACGATGCTACTGTTGATGTTGCTACTAGGAATGGTGCTCAGCAGAAATCCTGCAACATATGGATCTGTTTACACACTATTCACCGTGTAATGAGAGTCTGCCACATAGGTTAAGTGATAAGAGATGTCTTGTGGTTGACCTCTCTAGAGATAAGCAGCAATGAAATTCCAATGAAGTCTCATCATCCCTCATCACCAAAACCATCCTAACCACCTCAATGAAATACACCTGACCTCCCCCACTCTCCCCACCCACTGCCCCGAAACCAGCTGCCCTATGTTCTACCACCAGCTGCAACCAACCAATGACCTGATACTAACTAACCCTAATCTATCAGCTGCTGCCTAGTGCAACAGAGAGGGAAAGTCAATGAGAAGGAATCGGGTGCGAGTTCCTGCTTTGCAAGTAATGGGTTGACTAATGAGACAGCCACAAACGTCAATGCCATCCCATCTCACCCTCTCACCTGTGCTGCAAGGCTTCAACAATCATACCCCGTCTCCACTTAGGAAAATTGTCCTTTCTCAAATGCTAGCAGCTCAGCAATGTACTCTCTTAACCCAGGCCAAGCACATAGTAAAAGAACTCCAAAAAGGGTTCTAGCCGGAAGTGATCTTTCTCCTCCATGCTCCCAAAGCAGATTATAGCTCCTCCATAAACGTGCTTCACATTTGTGCCCCATGTTTGGTTTGTTACTTATGTATACATTATCCTCTCTTCTAGATGGAGCTTCTGTAGGAAAGGAGAATCCTTTTTAATTTTTTGGTATTACACCCAGCTCAGGACCTTGCTCAGTTGCTTAAATTGAATGAGAAATGTATCCAAGTACCCACCGATGTTGAAAATTCAACTTGTTCTAATATTGTGGACTGTCTGTACCTGACATATCTGTGTACCAATTTGAGGAACTGTTTTTCAAGTTGACGTGAATGGATTCCTTACAGATGCTCAAGCATCAATTTGGTTTTCCCTAAATCCTGCAGATCAGGAAGCTGGTATCCAAGTTTGCTTTAAGAACTTTCATTATTATAAATATATGTATGAAATTTTGTCTCCAGAATTTTTTTCTCAACAGGTAATCCTGACATAATAACAACCAATTTTGAGATGCTTCAAAAATAACACTGCAGTAGTAGCCACTCCTAAAACAAAATATTTCTCCTTTCCTTCAATATATGTAATCACATATGACATATAAAATCCGCTTACTGGATAAATTTATCTTTAAAAGATTATCTATATTTATTAAAAGTTAAAATACATATACTCTTTGACTTGGAATCAGGTATAACAATGTATTTTACAGAGCTACTAGCACACATGTGGAATCATATATGTACAAGGCTACTAACAGAAGTATTAGTACAGTAACAAAAATTAAAAATCAACCATAAATAGGGAATAGATTAAATAACGGTACACTTATGAATGAGACACTAACTTCTAAAACAGAAAGTAAAAAGAAAGGGAAAATAAGGAAAACTGGATCAATCCAACTTATGACAGGAAAGGAGAAAAAATAATGCAAAGAAATGATAATCACAGTAAAGTGAATACAAATTAAAATTTATCTACTAAAAGACAGTAATTCAAAGACTAGATTTAAAAGGAAATAATAGTTTTATGCTATTTACAAGACAGACTTAAAACCTAACAACATAAAAATGTTGAAAGTAAGAATATACCAGGTAAATACTAAAAAACAAAACTAGTATTAACAATAGAACCTGATTTTTTTAAAAAAACAGATTAAGAAAACTAGATTAAAGGAAAAAATCATTATTACTGAGATAGAGAGGATCATTATTTAAATGATAAAAAGAAGCAATTTATCACCACGTTTAAAAATCCCAAACGAGAACTCAAAGTGCTAACAAAATCATCTTAAAATAAAATAAGCAAATGCTGATTTAGCCATAAGGAGAAACCGCCAAATCCACAATCATTTTAGGAGAATGGGTTTAAGAAAGGAAAAAAAAAAAAAGATTTCTATATGCTCTTAAGAGAAAATCTAAAAAATAATGACATGAAAAAGTTGAAAGGAATGGAAAAATATGTACCATTAAAAGGAAACCCGACATAGGAATGTCATTATCAGACAAAACAGATTTTAAGACAACTAAGAAGTTAACAAGCTGACCCTACAATAAACATGAAAATTCTGAAAAAGAATAGGAAAGGAGAACTCACCATAAGAGAAATCAAAACTTGTTATAAAGCTATAGTTGTTAAAACGGTGTTACAGTGGTACATGGACAGATAAATGGACCAATGAAGCAGACCCAGGCACTGAAAGGAACCTTTTATATGACAGCATGGCACAATCATTAAGAGTAGAGAGGAAATAGGCTGGGCACAGTGGCTCACACCTGTAATCCCAGCACTTCGGGAGAATGAGGTGGGCGGATCACCTGAGGTCAGGAGTTCGAGAGCAGCCTGGCCAACATGGTGAAACCCCATCTCTACTAAAAATACAAAAATTAGCTGGTCGTGGGGGCAGACACCTGTAATCCCAGCCACTCAGGAGGCTGAGGCAGGACAATCACTTGAACCCAGGAAGCAGAGGCTGCAGTGAGCCGAGATCACACCATTGCACTCCAGCCTGGGCAACAAGAGTAAAACTCCATCTCAAAAAAAAAAAAAAGAAAAAGAAAAAGAAAAAGAGTAGAGAGGAAATAAATGGTCCAGAAGAACTGCCTATCCTTGTGAAGGAGAGGGTGATTCAAAATTAGGTCCCTTTCCTCACTCTATATGCAAAAAGTAAACTTCAAATAAATTATACAATTAAATGTGAAAATCAAGACTTTAAAATAAACAATGCAGTAGGCTGCTTTATAACATCAACTTAGGGAAGGCTTTTTTAAATTTCATAAATATGAATCATAGAGGAAAAGATGAATTGTCTACCTTAAAACTAAAGACAACAGAAACAAAATTAAAAGGTAAGCCAGACAAGAGAAATATTTGTAGTGACAAGGGTTTAACTTTCTTTCTTTTTTTGCACCTGGCCCACAAGGGTTTAACTTTCTAAAAATATAAAGAACCAGTCAGGTGCAATGGCTTATACTTATAATCCTAGCACTTTGGGAGGCCAAGGAGTGCAGATCACTAGGGACCAGAAGTTGGAGACCAGCCTGGCAACATGGTGAAACCCCATCTCTACTAAAAATATAAAAAGTAGCTGGGTGTGGTGGCACTTGCCTGTAATCCCAGCTACTTGGCTACTCAGGAGGCTGAAGCAGGGGAATCGCCTGAATCCAGTAGGCAGAGGCTGCAGAGAGCCAAGATCGTGCCACTGCACTATAGCTTGGGCAACAGAGTAAGACTTGTTCTCAAGAAAAAAAAAAAAAAAAAAAAAAATATATATATATATATATATACACACACTATTAATATAAGATGTCCAAAAATCCAATTGTAAAAAAGGGGCAAAGGTTGTAAACTGGTAATTCATAAAAACAAATGAAGACGTGCTTATTGGTACTATATGCTCAGTATTAAGCAAATTAAATGAGATAGGATCGTGCATATTCGACCAAGAAAATATCTGAATGTCTGAATATAATAAATGTTAATGAGGGAGTGGAGAAATGGGAATGCTCATACTGCTGATAGAGAGTAAACTGGTATAACTATTGTGGCAGCCGGTTAATATTTAGTAAAGCTGAAGATGCATGGTCCACTGTGGTACAGGCCCTGGAGATATTATCAAATGCGTACACAAAGAAACATGCACAAGGATATTTTCTGCAATACTGTAATACTCAAAAGCCAATAACATCCTCAGTGGTCATCAATAGGAAAATGAATTAATGATAGGATTAATCATATAGTGAAATACTATATAGCAGTTGAAATGAATGTACTAACTCTTTACATGTATCAACATGCTATACATAAAAAACAATGATGAGCAATAAAAGCAAATTGCAAAAGGATATATATTATGAAACTAATTATGTTTAGTTTTAAAATACACAGAATAATATGGATTGTAGTAAAAAATATAAAATCATGAAGAGCAAGGACAGGTACAAACAGGATAGTGCTTCTCTGTGAGAGTAAGGAAATGACCTAACAAGATCTTCAATGAATGTGCAGTTTTTCCTTTATTTAAACACAAAACGATCTGAAGTAAATAAGGAAAAAGGTTGACAGTGGTTACAATTAAATAGTGGCTGTATATCAACACTCTTGGTTACAAACAACAGGATCTACACTTGCTAGTTTAAACAAACAGAAAAAAAATGGCTCACAAGTCTCAGGCCTGGAGGTCAGGACTATGAGGCTCAAAAAAACGCCGATTTTTATACCCTGGAGCAGCTGTGGGGGAAAAACTGCTAAGCACAGCCTCCACACCTTGCACCATTACATGGGACCTCTGCCACTGCTGCATTGAAAACCACATCACTGCTCCTCTCAACAACTACTCTTGTCTGCAAAGTACTTGCTTCCACATTTCACACAGGTATGTCTAATTGGTGAGCCCATGCTACCTGTCTCAGCCATAGCTGTAAGGAAGGGTAGGAAATTAAATTTCATTCTTCTTCTGGGTAAGGTAAGATCCATGGAGTGGGAAGTTGCCAAAAAGCAGGTGTTCAAACAGTGCTAGTTGCCCAAAAAGCATGAAAAACGCCCACTCAAACAAGAGTTTGTGAAATTATTCTCTGTACTTTTCTGTATGCTCAAATATTTCACAATTTTTAAGAGAAAAAAATGTTGAAGTATATAAATTCACAAACAACAAAGGGAATGGAAAAAAAAAATCAATAAACAAGAGATGTCAACCAAGGCTTACTCAAGGTGTGGGTAAACAGGCACTCTTAGACACTGTTACTGGGAGTAACATTCGGCAAAACCTTTGGGAAGTCGGCATCTGGTAGCGCCTGTCAGTAATTCCACTGCCAGAAAGCTATTCCTACAAAATTATTTATACATAAGGCAACGTAGAACATAAGAGCATGTGAGTGAAACTGTCTCCGTTCAAATTCCCACTTTACCACTTTCAAGCTCTATGCTGTTTCCTCATTTAAAAAATAGAAATATCTTCTCAACAGGTCACTGTGGGGATTATACAAAAGGTTCCAGGTGATGAGCTTAGCACAAGGCCCAGCACATGATAAATACTCAGTTAACGTTATTTACTACAAACATTTGCCATTTTTGCACAAGGATGTTTACTGTGCCACTGTTTGGCAAAAAATGCAAGCAAGTATAGTATGATCCTATTTATGTTTTTTAGAAATTACATTTATATTTGTATGTATCTGCCTAGATCTGCAGGAAAAAAAAACAGAAAACATGCCAAAGTGTTGCATCCACGGAGCAGGAAGGGAGTAACCTGTTTTTGTACAGTTTCCATTTGAGCCACATGAAGTGTTTCATATTTTAGAGAAAAGAAAAGGTAAAGATCACTATTAATCTTGGGGAGAAAGGGTTAATCTGTATAAGCACACACAAACATATTAAAAACATTTATTTTAATTTATTAAACTTATTTAAATTTTAGAAAGTTATTAGGTAGATGTACATTCCTCTGTTGGTTTAGTTTGATCTTCAGTTACCTGTGAAAACATGAATAGCTTTACTTTCCTAATAAACACTTTCAGTTTTACCCCTTCACCCACCATTTTAAATCATTTCATAGCCCTCTTATAATGACCCTTTATCTTTCTCCTTCAATAGTAATTATTACAGAAAGTTAGGTAAGGAGAAAGATTTAAAGGCTAAGTAACCAATATAAATTATCAGGTAAGGAACAATAATTCCATTCAAAAATATAATCTAAGGCATATTATACCTAGGCTTCTCAAGTTTGCCATTTTACTTTTCAGCTGTAAAACAAAATCATTAGTGTAAGAAAAAACACCTGAAGTGCTGTAACAAGCTATTTTAAATCAGTTTATTTTCTTTTGGAGTATAATTCCATTTAGAATAAAGCATATTACAGATTTAGTCTAAATAGATATCTCTATGTCCCTATTTCTATTCTGTGTCACTCAGACTCATCAAACAGACACGGCTAAATCTGAATTCAACACCCCCAAAACCTGTCCTGCCTGCATCATCTATCTTGGGAAAGGGCTCCACCCGGCTACCTAAGGACAGCATTCAAGAATTCACTCTCTTCTTCCTACCTGCATATTCCATCAACAGTCCTATTCATTCAGCCTAAGTTAACTCTCACAGTCCTTCTCCCTATCATGGCTGAACTTTAGGGCCTCATTCTCTTCTATCCCCCTAACAGAACTCTTGGCTTAAGTCATAGCTATATCCCATGATACCCCTACAATGAGCTTTTAAACAAGAATAGCTGATCAACAGGTCACTTCCCTACTCAAAATTCTCCAGTTACTCTCTATTATCTCAGTGAGGTGGAGGAGGAAAGTCAGGAATGCAAGTTCCACAACATGGAACACAAGCCCCTCATATTCTGTTTACGGACTGACTGATTACCTACCCTACATGTGACCTGTACATTCAAATTCATCTTACATTCATCATGTTCTCTGAGTAGGCAAGTGACTTCCTCTGAGATAACTTCCAATCCATTCTCCAACAGAGTATCTGCATGGTCCACTTTTATTCACCCTTTAAGATCAGCTTAAGAGACTCCAATTCCTGGAAGCCTTCCTTAAGCAACTCCCCAGCTTGGTCTGAGTCCTCTTCTTTATGCCAGAGCCCCACATGTACACCTGAACTGTCTCCGTATAAGTCTAATTATCAATCAACATTACTTCCCTAAGGCAGCAAGTACATTTTATTCATTTTTTTGTACCACCAGACCATAACAGTACCTGGCACACAATAAACTATCGTAAGTCTGTGTTGAATCAATGAACCACGTTTAATCTAATCCCTTCAGAAAAGCAAAATGGACAGTAGAAAAAAGCAACTAAACTAGAATAAATGTTTGAAAAAATATGTATTGACTAACATCATTAGATATTCTAGGTAAGACACTGTCTCTACTGTTTTTCTACATTTTTCATTCCTTTTAAAGTGTTCAGTTACTATTGCTTCTTTAGTTTCCCAAACTATTTATTTAATATTCATTTCTTTTGTTTCTTTTTTAAATTGTTTTTAATTTTACTTAACTCCAAGTAAACATGCTGAACATTTCTTCTTTAGTTTCTTAATCTAAAATGATCACTGTGACCAACTAAAAAGAGAAAATTACTCTCTCCATTCAAAGATAATTTCTTCTCCTTAGAAAAAAAATTTATATACCCCTTACCCAAGAACATTATGATGAAGTCCGTAAACAATAATTCCTATCTGTACAGTCATTAATAAAACTAGGTTTATATATCATTATGAAAAACTGTCAATAAATATTTCTTGGGTAACCCGTTCATGTGCTAATGTTGTGTTCAAACTTTGGGCTTACACAAATAAAACAAATCCTGAAAGGCTTGGTAGAAGATAACTGTACAGGCAAAGAAAACAATCAAAATACAGTATGTGGATGTATACAATCAAGCACAAACTTATATGAATGAGTAATTATTTGTTAGAGATTACTCTGAGACTGTTCCACGGAGGAGGTATGACTCGGGCGAGGTAGTGAAGAACGACTGTGTGGTAAATAGACAGAAAGAGAATGGGAAATGGAGTCCAGAAAGAAAAACTAAGCAAACTTGAAAATAAGTTTAATGTGTGATGCTTAATGTGCTTGCAAGCTTAACCAGAGTGTTTGTGTCATTGTGGAAATCAGGATAAGGAGGAAGGCCTAATGAGGCCAGATTACACAGGACAGCTATCAGATAACCTAAGTAAAAGAGGCACACTTAACCTATGAAATAGGAAACAGGGATAGTTGTGGTCAAGAAATACAATCACTCAGGCTGGGTGCGGTGGCTCATGCCTGTAATCCCAGTACTTTGGGAGGCCAAGGCGGGTGGATCAGGAGGTCAGGAGATCGAGACCATCCTGGCTAACACAGTTTAAACCCTGTCTCTACTAAAAATACAAAAAAATTAGCTGGACGTAGTGGTGGGCACTGTAGTCCCAGCTACTTGGGAGGCTGAGGCACGAGAATCGCTTGAACCCGGGGGGTGGAGGTTGCAGTGAGCCGAGATCGTGCCACTGCACTCCAGTCTGGGAGACAGAACAAGACTCTGTCTCAAAGAAAAATACTATCATTCCTACTCATGAAGTCTAAATGCTAATGACAAAGAATAAACTATAAAAACACAAACATTCAAATCTGGTTTTTCAGGACATGAGGACATTTGCACATTTACTGTTAATGGCTAAAGGCAGCTTTAAAATATACCTGACAAATCTTAATCCTTTAAATATTCATTAAGTTTACAAAAAAAACCTAAGATCTAATTGATACCATTACAACTATTAAGAACTATTACTATTACATAGTAATATTATTTCTCTTCAAGTTCTACAATATCATTTTCACGACATTAACAAACAAAATCAAAAGAGAATTGCCAAGTTACAACTTTACCCTTACCAAAACACTAGCGAACAATCACAACACTGCTTTGACTATTGAGACAACTTACTTTTTTCCTTTCTCTTTGTTTCTTTCATTTCCCCCCACCCCTTTGGTTGTTATTGGTTAATTTTGATGAATTTCTTTATAGAAGAGTACTCATTAGCTGTCAAAAACACTTACCATTTTCCGAGATCTTTCCAATAGCTTATCCCATATCGTAAAATGTGCCTTGAAAAGAAAAGATTTGCGATGAACTAAATAAAGTAGTAAAGTCAAAGTCAAAGGGACAGACTCTTTATATAGCTTTTAGAACAAAATAAATAAAAAGCTAGGCAGCACTAATACAGATAAGTGGTTATAAAAGTAGCAAAAAAAGGTACTACATAGGATAGCTGCTTTGTTTTTTGCTTTCTTCAATTGCTTAAACCCAGGAGGCAGAGGTTGCAGTGAGCATTTAAGAAAAAAACACTTAAGGATTGAACGTGCCCTTCTTTCACTTTTGCCCCTCTTAATCATTTCCATCACAGAAAGCATTTCTTCTAATAGGAAGCAAAAATCTGCCCTACTTTCCCATAGATTGTGGTTCAATCCTTAAATAGCCAGTTTCAATATTCTAGAAGTCATTCTTCAAATCATAAGAAGACAGTCATTAAAAACCAACTGTGACATCTTCACACTGAAATGGCAGACTCAAAGAATTCATCAAGTTACCCTAAAGAATAAAAAAACCTAACAAAGACGATAGTAAATTTTTTTTTTTTTTTTTTGAAATGGAGTCTCACTCTGTCGCCCAGGCTGGAGTGCAGTGGTGCGATCTCCACTCGCTGCAAACTCCACCTCCTGGGTTCAAGCGATTCTCCTGCCTTGGCCTCCCAAGACAATAGTAAAATTTAAACTCAATTTCCTTAGTCCTTAATAACCTCCTGTAGCAGAGGATTATCAGAATGCATTAAGGAAAACTGTACAAAGTGTATCATGACCACATCAATTTTATTAGGTCAACTGAAAGTGATACCAAGGCATATGGGCAGGCCAGTGACTATTTCATACTGCATAAAATCTGTAATAAAAGGTAAAATTAATAAATATCGACACACAAACCCTTCTAGGGAAAGAGCTGATTGGTATGTTTGAAGGGAACACCATGCCTGACTCAGGCGGAATGAACTGCTGGTGTAGAGACCTTGAGCTGTGGCTGGACTACAGTGAATGAGGAAAGGAGTGGTGTTAGATAAAGTCAGAGAAGCAAGCAGGGATCAGATAATGCAGGGCTTTGTGAGACAGGGTAAAGAGTTGGGATTTGTTCAAGGGAAGCCATTGGAAAGTTTGGGGCAGAGGAAGTACACAACAGATTGTGTATTAAAAAGATCACTTTGGCTACTAAGTGGAAAATGCACTGTAGAGGGCAAGAGTGAAAGCAAGGAAGGTGAGTGAAAACAAAGAGGAACTTGGATAAGGGAAGTAGTAGTAGATGAGATGCTAAAAGGTGCATAGATTCAGAATATGTCTCAGAGTTAAAAGTTGAAAGGACTTGCGGATAGACGGGCTGGGGCATGGCTACGAGGGAAAAAGAGAATCAAGGATTACCTTAAACAACTAAGGAAACCAGGGGTATCCAATCTTTTGGCTTCCCTGGGCCACACTGGAAGAAGAATTGTCTTGGACTACACATAAAATATGCTAATACTAATGACAGCTAATGAGCTAACAAAAAAAAAAAAAGTCACAAAAAAATCTCATAATGTTTTAAGAAAGTTAAGAAAGTTTACAAATTTGTGTCTCATTCAAAGCCATCCTGGGACACATGCAGCCCATGGGCTGTGAGTTGGACAAGCTTGAGTTAAAGGATGATCCCATTTTCTGAAATTGGGAAGGCTAGGAAAAGAAGCAGGTATGTGGAGAAAAGTCAAAGTCAAACGTACATGAGAGGTGTGCTAAATTTTACAAAATGAGAGCGATGAAAGAAGATATAAATAAGAAGATATAGTAAGTTCATAGACTGGAAACCTCAACATATTAAAGATGTCAATTCTCCCCAAACTGCTATACAGCTCTAATGGACTTCTTATCAGGATCTCAGGAAGACTCTGTTGAGATTGAAAATATTATCCTAACATTAAAACTCAAATAAACTAGAAGACTTAAAACAATTTTGATTAAAAAATAGTAACAAGGGAGGAATTACTCTACCTGATTTCACAGCCTATTTAGAGCTACAGTAATCAAGACTGTGTGGTACTGGTAGAAAACTAAACATACGTGATCAATGGAACAGAATAGAGGACCCAAAATAGACCTACATAAATATGCTCAGCTAATCTTTAACAAAGATGCAAAAGTAACTCAGTGGAGGAAGAGTGGCCTTTTCAACGAATGGTACTGGAGCAATTTGACATCTATAGCCCACCAAAAAAAAAAAAAAAAAAAAAAAGCCTGAACCTAAACCTAAATTTCACACTCACAGAAAAAGTAACTCAAAATGGACCACAGATTTAAATAAATGTAAAACTCTAAAACCTTTAGGAAGAAAAAAAAAAAGGAGAAAATCTTTGGGATCTAGGGCTAATCAAAGAGTTCTCAGAATTAACCCCAAAAACATAATCCATAAAAACAAAAATTTGATCAAATTTTGATAAACTAGTTTCATCAAAATTAAAAACGTCTTCTCTGCAAAAGGCTGCTCAGAGAATGAGAAAACAAGCCACATATACAAACACAAGGTAAAGACAAAGAGAGAAATCTGAAAACTACATATCTAACAAAAAACTAATATCTACAACACATAAAGAACTCTCAAAACTCAACTGTTAAAAAGTAAAACAATCTAATTAGAACACTAGCAAAAGACATAAACAGACATTGCACCAATGAAGATATATAGATGGCAAATAGTACATGAAAAGAATGATCAATACCATTGGTCAATAGAGAAATTCAAATTAAAACTACAATGAGATATCACTACAAATGTACCAGAATGACTAAAACAAAAAAAAGTACTGACAGCATCAAATGCTAGTGAGGATGTGGAAAAACTGATCACTCATACATTGCCAGTGGGAATGTAAAACGGTACAGTCACTCTGGAACATTTGGTTGTTTCTTAAAAAACTAAACATACACTTATCACTTAACCCAGCAACTGCACTCCTATATTTAGCCCAGAGAAATAATCACAAAAACCTGCACACAATGTCACAGCAGCTTTATTTGTAATAGCCAAAAACTGAAAAGAACTCAGATGTCCTTTGATGGATGAATGGTTAAACAAACCATGATATATCCAGACCAAGTAATACTACTTAGCAATAAGAATGAATGAACTATTGATATACTCAATGACTCGGATGAATCTCCAGAGAATTATACTGAGTGAAAAGTGCCAATCCCAAAAAATTACATACTGTTCAATCCCATTCATGTAATATTCTTGAAGTAACAAAATTATAGAAAAGGAAAACAGATAAGTAGTTGGCAGGGGGAAGCAGGCAGGGTAATGGGGGCAACAGAGGGAAGTGGCTGTAAATGCGTGTGTCTATAAAAGGCCAACATGAGGGATCCGCTTGGTGAAGGAATTGGTCTGTATCTTCATTGTATCGCTGTCCATACCCTGGTGGTGATACTGTATTTTAGTACTGCAAGATGCTACCATTGAGGAAACCAAGTAAAGATACATGGGATCTCTCTATGTCTTATAACTGCAATTATCTCAAAATCAAAAATTTAAATAAAAAGATTAGCAAGGGGTGGGAGCAATGTGGAAAAGGTCAGGCTTCGGGTCATGAATGGATCATTAAAATTAGAGGGAAGATCATGCCAAATTTAAGCTTAAAAGGCATTCCAGAAAGGTCTTACCAATATGCACTCTAATACCCGCTCTGTCAATGTACCCTCACCTATGCTAATTTGAAAATTTTAAATACTATATCAATTTGATTTAATTTTTTCAACTAATGTTTCTTTTGTAACTGTATATTTACACCCTGGGCAACTTTGTTTTTAATCATAAACCTGAGTTTACAAAATATTAGTGTCATATAACTTATGAAAAATTAGAAGTTTATAGTCTTCAAACTGGTATAAAATCAAGTCCGGAATTATATCTATACCCAAATTGGAAGGCCTGGAACTTTAAGCTTTACTTACTCTTAAGTGAATGGGTAAAGACACACCCTGGAATCTTCGTATGAGACTTGGCTGGGTGGGTTGAAGATTGTGAACTGCTGACACGTCATACTGGAAACAAATACTTGTTCTTGGAATAAGAGGGCCCTCACTCACATCAATGAAGTCACCTATTCTGATTGATTTAAAAATAAACAAACAAAACTGCAACATCAAATAATTTGTAAGAGCTTGAAAAAGAAATCTCTTCATTCTCTTTGCTGCTAGCATCCCTAATCAAGAACATTATATATGGTTCAATTTAGTTTCTGATGACCCCTGACATAATGACCTCAAGTAAAGAGGCTAAAACTTTGAAAATTAAATCAAATGAACCATTTTCTTAATTAGCATTGATATAAATTTTAAGGTCTTTAAGAGTCACACAACACATCATGCTATCAAGCTGATCCAACTGCCTAAAATCGATCATCTACAATCTTAAAACAACCCATATAACAAAGTTTAGAATTCAGCGTGTAGGACAGATTGTGTTCAGAAACAAAGGGCAGTTTCTAGAGGAAAACAGTTAAGTCCAATTCATAAAAACAGGAGGTTGAGGAAACAGATCCAGGTCATGAAGTCATCTCTGCAGAATGCATTGTCTTGGGACTTGCTCTCCATGGGAGAATGTCATCATAAGCAGTGAACCTTTCTCATCCATGTGTCAGAAAGCACATTCTGGCTTAACTTACATGTATCATATATAATTACTAGTCAGTCAATATTCATATGAATTACCATGTTCAATTCACAACAATGACTATCTTGCCCAGTTTCAAAACTAACTCCTAAAAATTACATTCTTAAACAGTGGTTTTCAACTCAAAATTAAATAAAAATAGCAAACAATAAAATGAGGATTATAGAAACTACAAGTGTTCCTGAAGGTAATTTAAAGCTTCCATTTACCACCATTTCAAAACAATGAACAAAGCAAAAAAAATAAGGTGAAAAGAACAAAATAAGGTACAAATTCATCTTTTTTGGTCATATGCTTCATTCAGATAACAATAAAGCTAAGCCTTACTCTAGCACAGCAGCCAGTTTTTAGACTTTTACTTACCTGTGTAGCTTGACTATTCTCTCAGGGTTCTGAGATGCCTTCTCTTCTATGAAATCTATTTTATACCTGAAAAGCAGCAAAGAAAAAAACATGTTTTTAACCCTAAATAAGTAAAAAAGTGTTTAAAGATACCTCCCTTTCTCTTCCTCTTCAGCCATACTTTTCGAGAGTGGGTTACACTTGGAACCTCCCTTTAATCTGACCACAGCCCCATGACTCTGCCAAACTGTTCTCAACAAAGTCACAGGTATCTGCTTGGTGTCAACCCAATGAACACTTTTTGTTCCTCATTTTGTTAATACCAATGCTCACCTCCACTTCTCAAAGTGTTCTTTCTTTCCATTTTTATTTATTTTGATTTTTTCTGAGACAGGGTCTTGCTCTATCACCCACCCTGGAATGCAGTGGCACAATTATAGCTCACTGCAGCCTCAAACTTCTGGGCTCAAACGACCCTCCTGCCTCAGCCACCCAAGTAGCTGGGACTACAGGTGTGAGCCACCATGCCGGGCTAACCGTTTTTTTTTTTTTTTTTTTTTTTTTTTGGTAAAGATAGGGTCTTGCTAAGTTGCTCAGGCTGGTCTCAAACTCCTGGCGTCAAGCAATCCTCCTGCCTCAGCTTCCTAAAGTGCTGGGATTATAGCGATGAACCACCACACCCAACCTCAAAGTGCTCTTTCCATGGGTATCAGTGGCATTCCTTACTGCTTGTTATTTTACATCTCTGGCCACTCTTGTGTTTCTCTACCCTTTGAGAATTCTATGCTACACCCTCTTTTCACTTCAAGCATCCTTAGGCCAGCCTCTGAGCTACAATTTAGGTAGTTATATCTCCTATATCTCTGCCTCTCATCTACCTACCTCTTCTGACCACAGTTTCCAAGACCCATCTGGACATCCCTCTAGGATGTTCCATAAGCACCTTACCCTGAAATTTCCAAACTGCACAAATTATCACCTCTTTCCCGCCCAAACTTGTTCTTCCTCCTGAATTTCCTGTCTTAGTACACCACCACCAACCACCCAGGTGTCCATGTGAAAAACCTGGGAGATTTCCTTGATTTCTTTCTCCAACCATATCCCCTCCATTCAATTCATTATCAGGTTGTCAGTTTGACTGCCCAGTGTCTCTCAAATCTACCCAATCCTGTCACTATAGCTAAAGGCACAGATGAAACTGCACAGCCCAGGTTCAAACCATGACTTTACCATTTACTATTGAGAGCTTTGTCCATTTACCCCAGGGTGCTAAACAAGTAATACGTGTATGTGCACCAGAGGTGTATGCACAATTATGCGGCAAAGTTGGGGAACACTGGTTTATGCAAAAACACCCCCTGACTGCTACAGTCCCCCAGGCACTAATAAGGGTGCGAAGTACCTTGAATACTTGTCCCTCCTGACCCACCTCCAAGAGATGCTCCTGTCCCCTGAGAGTCAAAGCCACAAAAAGGCCCCACCATTACCCCTGCAGCAGAAAGGCTCAATCACTGACCCACCTTCAATGATTCAACTCTTCTGTCCTGTCCAGCTTCCTCCAGAACTATCCCCTTCCTCCTACCACACACTCAACTAAGCTACAAAAGTCCCAGAAGCCCCTACCAGTCCCTGACAGTTAGGTAGCGGAATGGGAAATCTCAATGTATACTGAATGGAAGTCAAAAGTACACTGTCCAGTAAAGTACCACGGTGCACTTAAATGTGATTAGTACTAGTTAAAATGAGCCTTAAGTGTAAAACACATACCAAGTTCTGAAGATTTAGAGTGAAAAAGAATATAAAATAACATCAATATTTTAATATTGATTACACTGAAATAACATTTTAGATGTATCATTTAAATAAAATCATTAAAATTAACTTCACCTTTTGACTTTTTTTCAACGTAACTACTAGAAAATTTCAAATTATACAGATGTCTCATATTATATTTCTTTTGGGAGCATGTGCCCAGACTTCTGGCACAGAGAGTGACTTGACGTGTTCAGACAGTCCAAAGAATTTTCTTGTAGAATCAATGCTATAAATGGTGGTTTGGTTCTACAATACTATCTGTACTCTAGTTAAAACAGTACATTACAACTGGTTTCTAAGTCCACTGGTTCCAGGACACGCTAAAAATGTTTCAAGATAAAGTGTTTCATGGGCAAATATATTTGGGAAATTTTCAGTGTCCACTTTCGGGGACCCTTGAGTGCAATGAGTAAAATTTTTTAAGCCACTGTTCTTCAAACTCAGTACATGGTTTAACACAGTACATGGTTTCATATGTCAATTAACATCTTATGGAAGAATATTATGAGACAGATAGCTTTGAAAAATGCTAAGCTATAAAGTATGTGTCAAAAACACACTCATAACTAACCCAATGTATTTATGATAACCTATCCCTATAAGAATTTGTAATTCAACTTCTAGATACCTAAAGAAATTCTAATCTATAACCTTTAACAATTTGTAGGTGCATATTTTGACTTCAGACTCTGGTTTTTTGGGGTTTTTTTTGGTTTTTTTTTTTTTGGTTTTTTTTACAGCACAGATTTCTCTTTCTAAAGTTCTAATATTCTATTAGGTTAACGTTAAAATGTAGCTTATGTTCTTATAACCGGTAGTAGAAGGTGAAGTGAAAGTTTTCTGAGTGAGAATTGAGAAGCCAGGCAGGAATTAAAATGTTAAAGAAAATCCATCAAATGAATAATTCACATGCAGAACACTAAAACCTGGCTGTGTAAACATTTTACTTCAGCTATTAGCCCTCTTCCAAACTGCTTGCATTTTCAATCTTATCAGTGTCATTTTAAGTGTGGAGGGGTAGGAGAGAAACGCTGCCAAATACACAAAATTATATAGTTGCTTAACATGCGTTATCACTTCACACTAGAAAGAAAAAAAGGAAACATACTACTATGTTGATATAATGAGAAAAGCTGGTCCAAGAACAGAGAAGTAAAACAAAGTGAGAAAATTATCAAGGGAGGTGGGGAACATTTTCCTCAGCAAAATAAATGAGATCAGAAACAGAGGTCTCAGAGTGGAAAATAATACACTGTCATATGTATATCAAATATAAAAATTCTTAAGACCTGAATTTTCTTTATTACATATAATACTGGAAGGGTTAGCCTTGATTTAAAGAAAGCCAACACTTACTTGTTGTGTTGAAATATTTCCAATGCCACTTTTGCTTCAACTTCTAGAGTTTCAAATGGAAGATCTTTATAAATTAAAGCATGAGCATCCTTTGTGAAAGAACGTAAGTTCTCCTTAAAAATGAAAGTAATAACCTTTAGTAACAATTTACTGAAAAGCATTTCTCCATAAGCCAGCTGAGACAAAACTCTATGCTTAGTACTGCAAATCCAACTAAAATAAAAGACAAAATCACGTTTGTTAGAACAGGTAGTTATTAATTTGCAACAAATGAAGTTTTCGACCATAAACTATAAAACTTCTTATTTATCAGTAATTAAGGTGTCAGCCTTCATTAATACTAACTACTGAAGATAAACCTATAAAGAAATTTTATCCAAATTATATTATAATTTCATTCAAATTACACAATCTTAAAATGTTATTAAAACTATGATGCACCAAGTAAAAATGCCAATAATTCAATAGCAAGACATAAAAATGTGTTTACAGTATGAATAAAACTAAGTTTATTAAATGTATGGGGAAAAAGTTATTGTTTTCATAATTAAGAAAGTTTCACTAGAAATGTAACATCATCACCAACCCTGTACAAAGTATAACATGTCCAATATTAAGTTTTTGCTTAATAAAAATGTCAATTTTACACAATTAAAATGATGAATAATACACATTAACAATGTTTGTAAGATTTTTAATAAAAATTCTAACTAAACTTTCATACTACAAATCATTACTAATACAGAAAAGACCAAGCACTATTACACAAGTAATTTTTATAATAAAATTATTTCCATAAAAATCCTATTAGACTTTTCTGCATGAAATGACTCTTCTCTATAAAGAATAATTTACTATATAAAAAAATCAACATTCATGGTTTAATACAACTATTCCTTCAATGTAACTCTACTCTACTTTCTTTAAGCTGTCTACTCAACCCAACTCCATGCAGTTTGCAATCAGCTTGCATATTTCTTTTGTAAGGTTTTATCTTTTAAAAAAGAAAAATGCAAAAGCCAGGCACAGTGGCATACACCTGCAGTCCCAGCTACCAGGAAGGCTGAGACAGGAAGATTGCTTGGGCCCAGGAGTTCAAGGCCAGCCTGGGCAACATCGTGAGACCCCCATCTCTTAAAAAAAAAAAGAGAGAGAAAGAAAGAAAAAAGCAGTTACGTTTCATAGATAATGAAAATTAAATCTTGACCTCAGTTTTTACGTAACTCGCCCCAGTAAAGAAAATCTTAAATTTGGAGACATACTTGAAAAGGAAGCTACACTGACAGGAGCCCAGAAGTCATGAAGAAACAGTTCCAATCCTTTCTCTCCCCTCCTTCCATCCTCTTCTTTCTCTCTTCCCTCTCCCTTTTTCTCATTCTTTCTTGATTCCCTCTTCTCTCCCTCTCAATATTATGTAATATGGGCAGGATTATACAAAAAGTAATTTCCAAGGCCAAATTTAAAACTAGATCTGCCCTTACTTCAAAATCCTTGCTTTTAAGAACCACTACAGTATTTCACTAAATCTATTACTAAAGGAAAAAACAAAAACAAAAACAAAAACACACTACAAATTCTAATTGCAAGATACCATCTACTATAAGGCTCATATATTTTCAGAGATACTAAATATAAAAAGAATGTACACAGTGGAAATGATAAAATGATGTGGTACACGGCTTCCCCTTTTCAGATCTCCGGACTCCCAATACATAGGACATATAGTTTTGTTTAATTAAGAATTAGGTATTTGCCTATTCTTCCCAATCAGAATTACGTCTCCAGGCTTGATCTTTGATAACCATCAGCACCCCTTACCTACAGAGCACCTGATATAGACTGTCCTTGTTAGGCTCTGCTGCTACCCAAGTCCCAGACCAACAAGGACCATCCTCATTACAAAGGCAGACCATTCACAAAGTGTTTAGTTTGTTAATATTTCGTTTGTTGATGCTCGAGTTAGCTTTGTCATTTGGATTCTTTAATTCACCCAGCTCTCAATGTGCCCCTTGTATATACAGGGACCTCACTGTATGCAACAAGTTAAAATAGTTTAAGGGAGTGGTTTTCAAATTGTGCTCCAGTGATCCAAACAGGTATGGCGCCAGGCCCCCTACTACCACATCGGTCAAGATAGTTAAGTTTTTATATTTTATATTCTGGGCCTCTTGAAAACCACTACCTTAAAACCGCTTAGAAGGAACATCAAGAAAAGGTCAAGCAGGACATAGAGTTTCAAGACAACTGACCATGTTGATGTAAATACTCTCATTCATATATCTCTGTCTTAAATACGCTGAAAAAGCAACAACACCTATAGACAGACAGACAGACAGATACATAGATACACAGATAGATACATAGATAGATTCTTTTAAATGTCCTCAATGTGCAGTACTATTCAACAAAACTAACACAGGAGTCATTCTAACAAAGAAAGGCAGACACTCTAAAATTAATACTCCAGAAGAATACACTTACTTTTGTTGGCATCCACTCATCAAGTTTGCTATCCAAAACTACGTCGTAACAGAAGGCACCAGAAATTACTGTAAATCCAACCAAAATAAAAAGCAAAGTCAAATCTGCCCTAACAGAAAGTTACTAATTTGCAACAACTGAATATTTAGACTACGAAATGAAGGATTAGCAATCTCTCCCAACTCTACAAATTATAAAATGGTTGCCATTCTTCCAGCTGCTTGCCAGAGCTCTATCAAATTTCCCTTAGCCAAAAGATTGTTAACCCCAAATCACTAATCACTAATATTTTTTAAACATTGAAGTTTTCTTCAAAAATGCTAATTACCATACAGATTTCATAGTTATCAGATGTAAAAATTCCAGGTAGCCGAGGCAGGTGGATCACCTGAGGTCAAGAATTCAAGACCAGCCTGGCCAACATAGTAAAAACCAGTCTCTACTAAAAATACAAAAATTAGCCAGGCATGGTGGCAGATGCCTATAATCCCAGCTACTCGGGAGTCTGAGGCAGGAGAATCACTTAAATCTGCGAGTTGCAGGTTGCAGTGAGCCAAGATCATGCCACTGCACTCCAGCCTTGGCGACACAGCTAGACTCCGTCTCAAAAAAAAAAAAAAAATTTTTTTCAAAAGAACAACATATTTAGTAAGTAGATAAATAACTTAATGGACATGAAATGCTAAATTTCTTTTATATCGCCTAAATAGCTTCTTTTTGGTGTTTTGTTCTTAGAATCATTTCTTGAGTTTCTTTCACATATTTTAGGTATACCTACTTCTTTAAAAAAAAAAATTATACATGTGATCTTACCATACTTACTATTCCAAAATCCTAGTTTTAGCAAAATTACAATGTACACCCTTTCATCTCACCACAGTGCTGTCTCTCTCCAGAGTAACAGTCATGTCTGGTGAAATATTACCACCTAAGGACAGCTCTTTCCAGCAGTCTACTTATACTCATATTTCCTCCTCCTCTACACATGCAATTTGGAAATATATGCTTAACGTTGTAAAAAAATAAATGCTGAGGGCTAGGAGCGGTGGCTCACGCCTATAATCCCAGCACTTTGGGAGGCCGAGGCAGGAGGATCACAAGGTCAGGGGATCAAGACCATCCTGGCTAACACAGTGAAACCCCGTCTCTACTAAAAACACAAAAACATTAGCTGGGCGTCGTGACAGGCGCCTGTAGTCCTAGCTACTCGGGAGGCTGAGGCAGGAGAATGGCGTGAACCCGGGAGGCGGAGCTTGCAGTGAGCCGAGATCGTGTCACTGCACTCCAGCCTGGGCGAGAGTGAGACTCTGTCTCAAATAAATAAATAAATGCTGAGATAGTGGAATTCCATGAAATTCATATTCAAGACAAACATTTTCCAGTAATTCTATGATGTTAATTATTAACCTGCAAAGACTACTTCATGCTTCATCATAATAAGATAGATTTTGTTACTCATGAAAAATGAAACATGTATAATGGTAATTTATACTAGATAAAATTAGAACTAAACTCTATACATCATCAAAAATAGGTACCAAAATATTTAAGGATCACAAAAAGACATATATTTATATGTGTACATTACCAGGAACTTCCGGAGCTCTGACCAAATTGACCATATATTCATCTTTGAATGCCCTCTCTATCACACAACCCATCATCATAGCACAGGAACGCCAATAAGCCTAGAAAAAAATACATACATATATAAAATATATATAAACACACTGAGATTCACTAAAGTTTCGACAATATTAAATTGTAAGTGAACTTTTGACTTCGAAAATATTTCTCATATATCTCTGTTCACACAACGTAGCAACAGTTACCATCAGACGATGACATTACCTCAACCAAGCAAAAATCAAGAAAGAATGAAGCATCAACTTCAGGTTCTTAGTAATGTTTCTGTGCAAGATACCAAGCACCATAATGGTTGTCAACCCTGACAGATAGTTTTATTATCTGAAAGTATTTATTTTTAACCCAGGATAAAGTTAACTTGTTAACAAACTTGTGCTAAAGTAAAATAAAGATATTAATTATGTAACTGTTTATACCATTTATAAATATGGAGAAAAAACTCAACTTTTATGAATGATTAGTGACTCTTATCCTACACCTAACACCCTAACATGTCGTTCAGATTACTCATATTTACAGCAGAGCAGCAGCAACTGGGCTTTCATCTTACCAGCACATTTTGATTCATGGACATGCCTGATTGAGATGGTATCAGAGCAATGACCTGATCAGTCACAAGGAGAAACCTGCAGTGTAACTGTCCATTGTGTTCCCCTCTTGCTGACACTACTCTGAGCACTTTTCAGAAGCTCTGTTTAACATTTGAGGACTACAAAAGTGGGATAACTTCTCCATTATAAATTCTATACAACCATATTACACTAAAAATAAGTACAGACCCAGGCCTTGAAGACAAGTGGCAACATGTACTCCTTCATCTATCCTACTTAAATGTCTTTAAGTGTCTGTTGAACTCCAGCCAGAATGCCTAGGTTCAAATCTGGGCTCCACTAGTTCATAAATCAGTAACCTTGGTCAAGCTGCTGAACTTCTCTTTGTCTCAGTTTATTAATCGGGAAAATGGGGAGAACAGTATGAACTGTAGAGTTTGCATGAAGGTTAAACGAGTTAATATCCGTAAATCACCTAGAACAGTGCCTGATACACAATACATACCTACCTATTGTTGGCTATTACTGTCATTTCTATCATTTTCTTGTTCAACTATTTCAACAAATATTTATTAAACACCTACTGTATGTATATCAAGAACTAGGTTCAATAAGGCAAGTGGTCCCTATCTTCACATTCAACAGTTTATGCTACAAGACAAAACTCAAATATCATATCTAGAGACTAGCCAAGTTGTGTGAGACCTTAGAGAAAAGAGGATTAATTTTGACAAGGAGAAACTTAGAAGGTACCACAAAGCAGATGGCCTTTTAATTGAATTGTAAAAAATAAATAGGATTTTAATAGAGAGAAAAGAAAATGCTCATTTGAAGAAGGCATCAAAAAAAGCAAGGTGGATAACACAGCATAAACCATTAGTGACTGATATAGTTTAGCTCTGTGTCCCCACCCAAATCTCATCTCGAATTGTGATCCCCAGAGGTCGAAGGAGAGACCTGGTGGAAGGTGACTGGATCATGGGGCGGTTTCCCCTAGGCTGTTCTCATGATAGTGAGTGAGTTCTCATGAGATCTGATGGTTTAAAGGTGTTTAGCAGTTCCCTCCCCACTCTCTCTCTTGCCTCCATGTAAGATGTTCCTGCTTCCCCTTCTACTATCATTGTTAAGTTTCCTGAAACCTCTCCAGCCATGAAAAACTGAGTCAATTAAACTTTCCTTTATAAATTACCCAGTCTCAGGGAGTTCTTTATAGCCATGTGAAAACAGACTAATACAGTGGCCAAGTACTCTAATGTGGCCAGAACAAGGAGGAAAAGCAAAGCAGCAAGGGGGAGGCCAAGCTGGAAAGGCAGGCTGGGAACAGATTATCCAGGCCCTGGAAAGCCATGTGAATGTTATCAGGTAGGCAAGTTCTTTAGGTGTAAGTGACATGCTCCTTAGTCATGTCACTTAATAAAGCTGTTATAGGCCTGTAAAAGAACAACTTTTAAGTACCGAAAAAAAAAGTGGGGACATGGGTAAGCAGAAAGAGTTAAAAAGTTATTGAAATCATCTAGATAAGATGGTCAAACGCTGAATTCAAGCAGTAGCAGTGGAAACGGAATCACCCACAATATAGTGATTAATGAATGTAAGTTGAAAAAAGATATTAATATAAAAGACATAGCATACCAAAAACACACAGAAATGGATGCCACTGATATTTTTTGAACTATAAAAGTGCCTAATCTAACAGGTAAAACATTGACTAAAGAGTACAACACAACATTTGAACTTGGCCATATTACGTTACACCCCATAGGAAACAGGTCTTAATAAAAAGGTGAAGATACTGGGGAAATAGAAAAAGAATGTAGAGACAGAAATACCTTATTCACTTCTCCTGGATCACGATCTTTGAAAGTAAGAAATTTAATTTCACACGACTTTGTTAAAGGCTTATACATGTCCCAAGGCTGTCCATCCACCAGAGCCAGAATGGACTTCCTGCAGTACCACTCACTTAAATCTAGAAATTTAAAACACACTGATTATCTAACAAAATCCACAGTGAAAAGGTACATGTTTAGGTGCTACATTTAGAAATAAAACAATGGGAAGGCAAGATTCTGCAGATTGTCCTTTTTAGAGAAAAAAAGTATATTACATCTATAATCAATAAAAAAAAAAAAAATACCCTACAAAAATTAGCCAGGCATGGGGGCACATGCTTGTAATCCCAGTTATTTGGGAGGCTGAGACAGGAGTATGGCTTGAACCAAGGAGGCAGAGGTTGCAGTGAGCTGAGATCATGCCACTGCACTCCAGCCTGGGTGACAGAGTGAGACTCCGTCTCAAAAATAAATAAATAAATAAATAAATAAAATAATACCCAATATACTCAAGGTCTTATTGGTTATTAACAAAATTACCCAAACCATTTACAAAATTCATTAAGGCTATATCTAGTTTGAAATTAATTTGTCAATTATTAATGAAACAACTTTCTAAGAGTTACACTTGAATATTTAGAGAGCAGCATCACAGATGTATTTGGATAGATACATACACAACTCCAAAGAAAAGGGAAATATATTAACACACAGCTACAAAAATCAGTTCTAGATTGGTTTTGGGTCTTGCTCCCAAACCATCTCTTACTTCCACGACATAGATGCTTTAAGTTAAATACCGTAGCTACCATTTCTTCGTAATTAATATGAATTCCCAGATAAACCAATCAGCTCTGGTCTGTTTCATCATCCCAGAATGCAATGCCAACTGTGATTAGATGTTCTGTAATTACACAGCTACTCACAAAAGTACTCAAACTACAGGGTCTAAATTATCGACCCCTACATAAGCTCTGTAAAGACAGGGATCATGTCTACTTTTGCTCACTCATCAGCATATCCAGAGCCTAGCACCAGGCCTGGTATTCACTAGCACTAGCAGGTATTCAATAACAGTTTACTGAATGACTGCAAGCATGAATGACAAGAAAGTCTCAGAGCACGGGTCATGCTGAGGATGCTTCAGAAACTGTATCACTATATGTGATGTGTATAAAGCTCCTTAAGGGCCTGAGTTTTGTCTTATCCTCCTCTGTAATCCTAATGCCTATCATATGGCAGAGGTTCCAGAAATACTTGAAAACCAAATGAGTAAATATTTATAAGTACTAATTCAAGTGCCAGAGTGAAGGAAGATTAAGAGGGAGTGTACACTCTTTAGGCCAGTTTAAGCTGATAACTAAAGTTGTTAATTACCTAAATGGAATCATTACTGAGTTTTCCAAAAGTTTAAGCAATGCAGCTAGTCATGCCTGTATCTATTTTGGCGCTTCTTTAATTTAAATAGTACCAGTTCTACCAAAGGTACTATCAAAACATTTTGATCAAAAATAAAATATAGAGGTTCTTATTCCCTTCATTTCCACACCAAATCACACATGGGGCACAGCTGTCTCCTTTAAGATATAAATACTTTTATCCCAATCACATTCACCCCATGCACATTCCCAGTCACACATTTACATGTACATATAAATGCAAACAAAAATACAACACAGAGAGAGCTCAATGGAAGACAGATGATAGACGTAAGTTAGGCTATACAATGAAGAGGGGAGAAAGAAATTTCGGCAGCAAAAAAAGCTGATCATCTGTGGCCATGGCAACCCCTTTACACCAAAATCCTTTCTTGAGACCTGCATGGTGACTGCTCCCACCATATTACAGCCCAGCTAAAAGGAGCAAGCAAATCCCAGCTACTTGGGAGGCTGAAGCAGGAGGATAACGTGAGGCCAGAAGTTCAAGACCAGCCTGGGCACCATAGCCACCCTATCTCTCAAAAAATAAAAATAAATTAGCCAGGTGTGGTGGTGGGTGCCTGTAGTCCCAGCTACTTGGTAGGCTGAGGCTAGGAGTTTCAGTAAGCTATGAGAGTACTACTACACTCCAGCCTGGGCAACAGAGCCAGACCCCCATCTCTAATATTAAATTAAAGGAGAAAGCACACTAGTAACAATGCACTGAGGTCTGGCCACCTTAATACACTCTGGTCTGGCCACCTTCTGCCAGAAAATAATCTAGTACCCTAAACAAAGCCAGGGATTCAAACAAGCCCCAGGTGGGACAATCTGTGCACTATACTGCCAATCTTGCAATACTCATAGTACCCTCCAGAGCTAAAGGGACAGTGAATAGACAATAAGGTGCCAGATAAAGAACCTCTTGGAAATCTAGGGACTTCTGTGCCCACCACATCTGGCTAATTCATTTTTATTTTTTGAGAGACAGGGTGGCTATGGTGCCTAGACTGGTCTTGAACTTCTGCCCTCAAGCTCTCCTCCCGCTTCAGCCTCCCAAGTAGCTGGGATTTGCTCGCTTCTTTTAGCTACGGCTGTGATGTGGTGGGAGCAGTCACCATGCAGATCTCAAGAAAGGATTTTGGTATAAAGGGATTGCCACAGCCGCAGATGACCAGAAGTAATTACAACATCCTGTCTCCTGCACCAGTTCTTCCACACATCTCAAGTAAAAGGGTCAAAACTGTAACCTGATTCTGTTACTTACGCATGGCACAACTGTAGGGAGTTGAAATGTTTTTATTCATCACGAAGACAGTACCGGGGTCAGTTTTCCCAACATGCTTAACTTCTATCTTCTCAGTTCGGGGAGTTAATGATAACTGCCTGGCTTTCTCTTTATTAAAGAGGTCATTCCGCATTTCTGTCAATTCTGTCGGCGACAGCTGAGAAGCTGGAGATGTTGCTATAAATCCTGTGAAGAAGTTACAATAAATATGAAGACTGAAAAAAATGATTAACATACTGCCAAAACTGCGCTCAGAGGTAAAATTAAACCGATTTGTAGTATTAACAAACACCAGCGGAAGAAACAGAGCTGGCCCAGATATGTGTCTCTACTTTTAAATCTGGCTCTTTCACATCAGATGGCTATTTCCCACCAATTTCCTCTGTTGTGTTTCCAATCAGTGCTTTACAATAAGGGGCAAAAAGTAACCAGGAAACGGAGTCAAAACTGGACTAGAGTCATTGGGAAGGTGAAGAAAGTGGTCGGTTTGAAAGGGTCTGAAGGAAAAGAATAAAATTTCAGGAAACTAAAGGTCCCATACCAAAACTATCAATATCCAGAATGAGAAACGCTGAGTTTATTTCCCAAAAGCCAAATCACGGGACCTGCCAAGGCAAGTCCGAGTACTCCCAGGGAAGACATGGACAGATGTGCACGGAACGTGCGTTGCTTCCCAGAGGCGGCCCAAGCTCCTCCCGCAGCCTGACCCTGACCCCTGCACTTGCCCCTGTCCTTCTCCAGCCCCTGGTTGCCATACGTTTGTCCTCCCAGACTGTGCAAGGCCAACCGCCGCCGCGGGACTGAGAAACCCTCCTCCTTCCTCTGCCCCGCTGGACGTCCCCGGCCCCACCTCAGGTTCAATCCAGACAGACAACACTTTCTAGGCCTCCTCCCTGTCCCCACGGCCTCTGAAACTCACTCCAGCTGATCCCCAAACCGGATGCGACCCGCCAGAGCCGCAGCGCCCGGACACCCATGGTCAGCGCCTCCATAGCAGCGATGAGAACCGTCGCGCGCAAGTCCTTCTTCGCCCTCCTCCCCCGGAAACGGAGCGCGCACTCGGAGTTCCGCAGGACAGCTCTGTTCCGGACCCAGCACTCAGACTGCGCACGGCCACCAGGGGGCGTCAGGCCTCGCTGGGGATTCCGGGGGTGAGACCCCGAGATTCGGAGCCGGGCGCGTTACCTGTGCTCGATACCTGGGTGCTGTCACCGACCGAGAGGTGCAGGGCCCCCAGAGCGGTCGGCCTGCCTGCCACCCACCACGTAGGCTCTGCAGGGAAACAGAGTCCCACAGGCGTCGTTGCCCTCCGCCTTCCGGCCTCTGCAGGTTCGATTCCGGCCACCCAGGTGAAGCGCTTGCTTCCCTAAAAGAATATATGTATTTGGGGGGGGGGCGGGGAATGGGGAAGGCGTCTTCTGTTTTGTCAGCGATGACATCTTCTAGCGCGTGTCTCAACTTTCAATTGTGCCGGGTAGGTTCTTAGTTCGGCTGGAGTGGGTCTGCACCCCGGTTCTCCTCTTAGCCATGGTAATAGAGGCCTCGAGACACGTCGCCTTGACTTTGGAGAAGACGTTGTAATTCGTAAGAGCTCTTTACAAATTTTCTAGTTTAATTTATGTAGTACAGGATGTATAGGAGAAGGCATCCCGGGGCAGAATTTTTGTCTCTAGTCCACTGATGTATCCCAAGCGCGCAGAACAGAGCACAGCTCACAGTCAGCGCTCAACAGATGTTTCTTAAATGAATGAATGAATGAATGAATGAATGCCCTTGCAGGCAAAACTCAGCGCATTGTCTAATTCCTCTGTCCTACCAGGACGTGAGTGTTATTTGAAGTAAGCACTCTGTAGGTACAGGATGGAAATGTTTTCACTTACAGTAGGTTAATATTGTGGCTTTGCTTAAGAGTGTCAAATTCAGCCTTTCCCCCACTCTGTCCTTTGCCTTGCAATTGGAATGCGCCACCACCAGGTGGAAGTGCCGTCTAAGGTACAAATATGACCCTGCGCCACGATAGACTGACTCTGTCCTTGGCCCAAATGTTACACTCACAACCACTGCGCCAGGAAAGTATAAGTATCTTCACTTTTTCAAACGGGAAATTAAGTGATGCAGCTTGGATTTACATCCAGGCTACATTTTACCAGGCTATATTTCATTTAAGATCCTAATTCAAACCACGAAATGTACATATATACGTATAGGGTTGGGGAGTGGGTGTATCTTTTACTTACTCAAATTTGCATACGATTCCCATGAAAGCTCTCTGTTTCGTCGGCCTTTTAGAGCCTGTACCCATTTAACCTTACCTAGAAACACTCTAGTGCCCTTAGAACATCTTAGAGCCACGTTGAAGCAAAGCCTCTGAACATAAACTTAAGCAAGTTTGATCATAAACCCATTGGAGGCAGGTAATTGGAGTTCACCAGTATGAGAAATTAACCTAGTTGAAAGGTTGTCACTAGTGATAATGGCCAAAAAATACTATGTACCAATCAGAGGGCTGGGTTTATTAATTTTCACAACCTACCCAAGCAATTGGCATAAAAATCTTCATTTTCCAGGAAAAGAAGTTCAGGTTTTAAGAGTTCGAGAGACATGCCCAAGGTAAATCTTAGGCCAAGAATTCCCCCCAAATATTTTCTTACTCTGAATCCCCTCTCTTGCCTTCTTTATCAACCAGCTCCCCAAATCTTAGTCTCACTCTGTCAATGTCTCTGCCAAATAAAAAGAATCAAGTCTGTGACAGTAAATATCTAAGATAAGCCTGGATTGTTACTGTGCCAGAAAGCCTATAACTAACTATAAAATACAGATGAACAGAAACATGTTAAAAAGGACGGGGTACCAAACTCAAAGGGGCTCCTGTTGTCCAAATTTGGGAGAGTTTGCATAACACAAAGACTAATGCTGAAATTTTATGACATGTACACTAAAAATTCATGAATCCGTAATGATACTCAAGAATAAATAAGTGTGGAAAGAATGAAGGGAGTTTTCTGTACCAAAACAATGCCAGATAATAAAAGTCGTAGGAATAATAGAATAGGGAAAATCACCATTCTGCATCTACCAATGTAACCATTGGTACAGGAAGGGATCATCAATAGATGCTAAAACCAATAGAGAAAGTTCGTTGGGGATCAATATATTCACATAGTCTCTAAGTATCACCTCACGAATTACTGACAAAATACAAATGGATAAAGGAAACTTTTCAAAGGAGAAATCTGGTGGATATCATCGTCAAGTGGTCAAACGTTTCGTCACCCAAAATGAGACAATCTGACTTTATTTGTGCTTCTTGGTTGTGATATAAACAATATAATCTATGTAGTATTCCTCACATAAATATTTAACCTGAATCTAAAGAATTATGAGGAAATCAGGTATATCCAAAAAGTGATATAGTCTACAAAACAACTGACCTAAACTCTTCAAAAATGTAATGTATGAAAGATGAACCCAAAAAAGTCAAGAAACTGTTGTAAATTAAAGGAGACTAAATAGATCTACATTTATTATCAGTGCATGGTCCTCGCTTGGATTTTGGATTAGGAAAAAAGTTTACGAAGAATGTTACTGTGACAGAGAAACTTGAACATAAACTATATACTAAATAATATATCAATGTTATATTTCTTGGATATGATCATAGTGTCACGGTCATATAGGAAATAATCCTCGTTCTTATGATATATATATTAAAATATCTAGGAACCAAATATCACTATGCCTATAACTAACTCTCAAATGTTTCAGCAAAAATAGGAAGCTCCATACTGAGGGAGGGAACAAGACAAATTTAGCAAATGTGGCAAAATATTAACAATTAGAGAATCTAAGTGAGGGTGTTAGTTGAACTACTACTTCAACTTTATTCTGAAAAGTTTCAACGTTAAAACTTTGGAGAATAACTTCAGTGGTTTTTAACCATGAAAGTTTATTTTGCTTATGTTGTCTGTCAGTGACAGCAGCCACCAGCCAATCGTGGCTCTGCAGCTTTATTCCAGAATTCAGGCTGTAGAAGCAGCCCCTACTTGGTCTTGTGCTTCTTGTGGCAGAGGGAAAAGAGTGCAGTAACCACCTTGTGCACTGGCTCTTAAGAGCTTCTGTTCAGACTCACCTATGTCTCAGCCACACAGTCCCCTGGCCCCAGCAAGTCCCATGGTCAAGACCACTGTCAATCAGGTAGGATGCCTCCTGCAGGGAGCCAGTAGATGAAGTTATGTACTTCACATTCAAGGAGGAATGCAAATCACTGGAATCAAGATTGAATAATAAAGTCAGGTTTCATGGCTCACTCTTATAATCCCAGCACTGTAGAGCAACCGAAGTGAGCAGATCCCTTGAGCTCAGGAGATGGAGACCAGTCTGGATAACATGGCAAAACCCCGTCTCTACAAAAAAGTACAAAAAAATCAGCTGGGTGTGGTGGTACTTGGGAGGCTGAGGTGGGAGAATCACCTGAGCCCAGGAAGTCGAGGCTGTAGTGAGCTGTGATTGCATCACTCCATTCCAGCCTGGATGACAGAGTGAGACCCTGTTCCAAAAAAAAAAATCCACTGACACAGTAATTTTCCCAAGATCACAAAGATGATCTGGGGCTCAGTCTCAGATCTGGCTGTCTCCAAACCCTATACTTTCTTTATTCTCAAATTCATATGCTTTTTAAATCCAAATATTTGGTTTCACATTTTCAAATCATTATACATTTACTTGTTGGGAAATTTTGTCTTTTAATTTAAAGCTTCCTAATGAAAAGTTTCACTCTCAGTTCTTTTTTTGATTCACAGGTTCTTACCAAAACCCCACACAGGATACCATTGTTGAGAGTTCTCAATTCCTCTATCAGCTACCCCATTCAATACATATCCTTATGTTCCTCCTACTGACCCAACATGCAAGATACCAAACATGTGGTTCTGTGCCTCGCAGAGCTGTCCTTTGAATCAGTTTGTGTTAGTCCAGGTACTCTGAAGAACAGATACCAAGACAAAGTTAAGTATGCATGGAATTTGTTAGGAGAGATGCTTGTAAGGGAAAAGGGGAAGGTGGCCAGGTAAGGCTGACCCCATGTGAAGAGGAGAAGGAAGGAAAATTGAGTGAACACATTCTTGACCACCAGTGGGGTCTAATGAAGTTTCAGCAAGATCATCAGGTGAATCCCCAAAGCCAAAGTGGGCATGCCTCAGTGTCCCCACTGCGCTCAGTCTGGCTGGGAGCAGCCGCTGGGAAGCAGGAAGCATGTTTGCCTCAAAGCAAACATGTTGATATTTCAGAGTTCAGCAGCTGGGGCCCTGGGTCAGTTACACTGCCTGTAATTGAAGATCTAGGAAGCATATAAACTAAGCTGTATTTTGGGAATCAAATAATTGCAGAAGTATTTGACACGCATTTTACATGTCTACATAATAAAAACACATTTGTATCAATTATCTTATATCAGGGCTGAACACCCTCTACTTCCACCTGAGGACAAATTGCTGTGAAATAACAAGAGATGAATAGGCAGGTGCAACCCACGGCTTTTTTTTTTTTTTTTTTCTCTTGATGTGTGATGTCTTGAGGCTAAATGGTACCTTTATTTCAACATCATTCCTTATCAACTCCTTTGTGAGCTGAGGGGGGCAATGGGGTGTGTGTGTGTGTGCTTGCACATGCGCGCACATGGGGGTAGGGGGTGATGGTGAGAGGGTTCTGGAAAAATGAAAGGCAGATGAATACAAAGATATATACATAGTCTACTCCTTCAGCTATCATTTCTCCTCAAACCATCTCTTTTTATCAGATATTTCCTAATAGTAAGGGGCGAACCAAGGATACACATCACAGATAGACTTTCTTGTACAAAATATTTTTGTTTCTTTCACAGAAAACTATAATGTATATACATATATGTATATACATGAATTGTGTTAAGAAAATAATTTTTATGTTTCCAACCCTCATTAATAAGTACTAAATAATGTTTATTTAAAATGATGATATGGTAAGTGTTGAAAATTATAAATATACAACTTG